ATTCATAACATTCGAAACTTTGGAAATTTCAAAACCTTGAAGTGCAGATACAGTAAATTGATTCTGTCCTTAGGGGGAATCTAACACAACAAGTATTTATTAAAAAGAAGAGGGGAATTAGTTTCTTCCTGTATTCCGTTATTCATTTTTGCCACCCCAATAAACCGTCAGCCTTGTTAAACCCCCAAAATTCTGCTGCACCGGAAAATGGTGATTAAACGAGGTTTTCTTCCGTTTTCGAATTGGTTAGATTTCCTCTCTATTGTCATGCCCATAAGAAAATTCTACTCATAATTTTTTTTACAATATTTATCCGGGTAATCCTAGTTGATTTTCCCGAAGATCAAGACGAACAACCATTCTTGGCAAAATAACATTTCTCTTCATCTTATTTATGTGTATCTCATCCTTTCATGCAAATTGAATTCTTGTTTGCACCTAAACATCAGAAAATTTCGTGGAATCTGCCTCAAGCAAGATCATGTTGTCAAGTTCTAAAATGATTTGATGCTATGAATTATGCAACAACAACAAAAACAAACACTCCACAACGCGAGACAATTAACAAATGTTTTTTTTTTTGTGTTTAATTTCATAAAACATGGGTATCATGAGCTAGGAGAATAAACAGCAAAATAACCTCCCACATGCTTATTAAATATACAATAGACTCTTGGTTAACAAACTGTTGGTTTGAAAGAAAAATCCCTTACTGGTTAACAAAGTAAAATTCTTGCTACAACATTATTTCTCTGGAAAAAATCCAAAATTTGATAATTTGAACTTTGATTTTGGGTTGAAATGTACGGCGCAGTCTAACTGACAATATTTCATCTTTGCACTTGTATGAGAATTCATATCTTTTGATATTATCATAAAGTAATCTTTTGCTTTCATTTTTTTTTCAGCCAACCTATTGATATACTGTATTGATATGCTCATTGTCTGTGACAGAATTATTTGCTTTTCTGCTCTTGGTTTTGTTCACTATGTTCCTGAGGATTTGTTAGAATGACGACAAACAAGTACAGCATCTTTCAAACTTGTGCCAAGAGTTTTCCAAACAAATATAGAATTATGGAACGATTGGAGATTTAATTGGTCTCTTTGATGATATGAGGCTTATACGACCATTTTAATCACCGCCGGCGAAAGATTTATTTTCCATTTCAACGCATAATTTCTTCTCAAAAATCATCGGTCGATCAGGTCTTGAAGGGCGTGAAAAAAGGGTATGCACTGAAGTTCTTCTTTCAGTACATGCATCACGGAAACAGTCGCTGAATTTGCTCACGGAGATTTATTAGAAAAAATTGCAGGCAATAAAAGGTCGGGAATTATTTTTAAAGGTAATTCAGAAAATTGAGTATGATACGAGAAAATCTCGACACTTTACAACCAGTTTTTCGTTGACCAGTAATTAAGCTGTTCCCTTTGATGATGCATCAGAGTTCAGCGGTGTACAGTAATTTCAACTTGCGTCGCGCACGGAAAATAATCCCCGGAGGAAGGTTTATTTTTTCTTCCTGAAAATAGAAAAAAGAGAATTGTTGAAAGTCTGATACAAGAGAGGAAACAGCAAGCATTGATCAATTCAAGTCCTTGAACTTTATTTGAACTTTGATCAAAGGGGGCAACTCCCAGGCCAGGAATTTCCGCAGTGTGTTGAACAATCAGACATGATTTTTCTTCATTTTGTTACGCCGTTATTTTTTTTTTTTGTGTGTGGTTTTTGTTCGTTTTCTTTTCTGCGTGTTTCATCGCGGAAGTTCGTCTGCGCTGCCAACCTTATTTTCCCAGCACTTCACAATCACGCAGAATTTAGCTTAACTGCAACGCCTGCCTAAAAAATTGCCAGGGTTCCGGGAAGACTTTAGTAGAAACGACAAATCTTTAATTTTACCTTGAGCTAAATTGTGAGAATTTGCAATGAGTATTTGCTATCATCTCTCCCTCTCTGACATTCTGCTCCTATCGAAGCCCTCCCTCGTGGATTGCGATAGAAAATTGGGCATCGCTGGTAATAAAAATAAAAAAGACATTTCCGTTCCTGAGAGCCAGAGCCGCGATAGAATTGAATGCCAGTCAAGGTCGCAGCCTGAAGTTTGTGAAAATGAAGGAGCAATTTAGCTGCAGAAATGAATATTGGAAAAAAATGAGAGCAGCGGAAAAAAAAAGTCAGCGCCAGGGCCGCCAAGAATTGAACCCCGCCCTTCTCTCGGACACTGACTTTTTATTTTGCTCAACGAGTGACTTCAGTTTTATAGATGCTTTTAAATATGATGTTGCGGATAAATGTGCAGACATTGAATTTCTAGCTAAATACAAAAAATTCCGCGGAATATCATTCGAATGTTGTATGACCTGTTTTGGAATAGTCCATTTGAGCATGATCCAAATTACTCTCGTGAATTTTCGGCTGCAAAAAAAAAATCAGAATTTTCAGTCTATGACTCATCAGGAACCAGCTGCTATATATTTTCTCAATCTACTGCTGTTGACATAAAATAAATCTATATACCTATAAGCATTCGATGAGCTCTGTTCTTTACTTCAATGCTTGCCATACTGCAGTGAAAAGAAAACACATCATATAGTCAAAACAGTACATTGAATTTTCGTGTTACATACAGTACTTGTATGCCTCATATAAAGTGTTCATGCATGAACTGATTTTGCATTCATTGAGGCACAACAAAACACAAAGCAACAACTTCGCATGAAACAAATCCAAGTCTGAAATATTTAAATCGCGATTAAAAATGTATACCACATCGAGATACTTGTGCGTTGCCAATATCAAGTTGTGCTGAGAATCAAAACATTGCAATTTATAATATCGACTTATCGATGTACAATAATAATGCACATATAATTAATTAAATTATATTCTTCTGATGAGGTTGTACAGTAGAATTTCATTCAAACAAATCTCGTTACGCAACGAATTTATTTTTCGGGCCCCTGCTAGTCTTCAATGACAAAAAATGTTATTTAAAAAAATCGCCTTACAACGAATTTTTCGTTATACAGTATATAACGAAGCGTATTTTTCGTCTCCAACAGCTTCGTCGTAACCATATTTTACTGGAAAGTCGGCTCAATTTGGCATCTCGTCTGCCGGAAATATAATAATCGCAATGATATGCGTATCCAGCCATCAAAAAGTGCTTATAAATCTCAAATATCCGAAAATTTTACAAAATTGAAAATTTTACAAGATTTTCACAAAATGTACCTGTATAATATACGTGTATGCATCAGCTGAAATATCTCAAAAGTAAGGTGTATAATTCGCAGACTCCCACGAGAGAGGTTGTGACGCGGAACTAAGTGAGTAAATCGTTGGTCATCCGTGACCAGAGTGTTTACGTCGCGGTCGCGCCGGAAACGTGCTGCAGGTGCGCATTGGATTTCCATCGAATTTTATTATCCACCCAGAAATCGGGATGTAAGTTATATGGAACGAAAAAAAATTGAAAATAATGCCATGCCTTGAGGGATATAGGTTCAGTATCTCAGCTGCTGAATGAAGTACGTGTCCGGACAACACCTGCTGCTGCTGCTGCTGCTGGTCATCAATGACAATAAGCATACGTCTCGTATGTGTACCTGAAGTCACTATTTCCGAAGGGAAATGCGATCAGCCAAAAAAGAAAAATCTGCTTCGATTGCAGACCTGAGTGTTGTCTAAGAGCTATATAAGTATATATCCTGCTGCTGCTTCCAAGTTCATATACAAGGTTAGAACAAAAGTTCTCGGGATGGAAATTGAAACAGCATATAAATGAGCTGAGAAAAAAATTGTAAAAAATATTTTGCACTAGAAAAAAAAATTAGCCATATAGTTGTTTGACAATTTTTATTTAATTTCGTTTTTGTTGAAAAAATCACACTGGCAGCTTTATGCTCTTCATCACTCAGCAGAAGATGAGGGGCCCATTTTGAAAAATGTTTCCCTATTTTTTTTAGCTCAGCTGATTTTTTTTTAGCATTTTTGACATCTATGTAGCGGCCATTACTTCCAAAGGGTTACCTCCAAGTCATCCAAGATAATTCCACGATACAGTATTCATTGACAGAAGCCTTCACGACAGTCACCATCAAATTCCCATCCCAATTAAGTGGCGGTTTCAAGTGAAGAGCATAATGCTGCCACGGTAAATTTTCCAAAATAGTGAAAAAAATGGTCGAGCAGGGCTGAATTAATTTTCTTCTGCCTAAGAATGTTTTCTCTGAAAAAACGCCCCCAGCTCATTCACATGCCGTTTTAATCCGCATTCCGCAAACATTTGTTGAACCCCTCGCGTACGCTATGCCAAGGACGCTGCGGCAAGGTATAAACTGCAATTTGTACGCATACTGTGTCCAAGGCTGTTATTATTATGGCTTGATAATTGGCTTTCAGCTTTTTTTTTCAAGTGATATAAGAAAAAATTTTGGGGCAAGGGCACGGTTGCTGCTGGCAGTTCGAGGTGCTCCGTTACCTCGGAATTGTTCGTTGGAAAATACTGTACAGTAGGGACAGGTGCAACACCACTATGCTGGTGTGGTAACTTTATGTTTGGTTGATAGAATTATAAATCGGCCACACCCAGCATGCAATAGCAGTTTGACTTGGAAAATCTTTTTGCAGGATAAGATTCGTCAATGAATGAAGTTTGCTTTCTTGTGTGATTTTTCTGGGTCAGGTACGAATTAATACTGTATTACGTATGAATGGCGTCCGGGTGATGCGTACGTTAGATTCCCACACCTGTATTCCCAGCGCAGTGCAGGAACTGCATGTTTATAATACAGGTGTAACTAACTATTTATTGTAGTTGATAACCGTGTTCGTAGCTTTGTCAAGGTGCTGCAGTACTCTATAAGTCTATAGTTACAGTACTGCATACAAGTTCACCAGCTGATGCCGACATGGGTTGGCGTTCTGTTCACATTACCCAACTGCTTTGCGTGCGTCAGCTCTCTTCTTCTGGTTCGGGATTTGCTTCATAAACACGGATGGCAGAACATTTCCGAAATTCTGTGGAGTTCGGACTCATCTGTTTAATTCAGAATTTTGAACGTATTGGTAGCGTCCAAGCACTGCTGTTGATTTGCGGAGTGGCGTGAAACGTGTGGGTTTTATACATTTTGCCTTCAAAATTTGAAATTGTGTGTGAACCGCTTTCCCTGGAATGAATGTCTCTGAATCACCTCTGTACAGGAGCTGATTGTGCTTCCGGAATGACGAAAGCAGATGACGTAGCCCTTTGATTGGATATCACGCTTGTGGAGTAGTCGACGAAGATGTTCATCAGGGGATCGCTTCGCTGAGGCCGTAACTACGGCTTTTTGAATTTTTGAGTTCTTGGGCGACCGCAGGGAACCGGACTCCGTCCCCGCAGAAATGGGCAAGAGTGGTATCTGCACAATGTGCATGAGTTCTAAAACTTTGGTTGTTGATGCGAAGAAACATCGGCTGATCCATGCAGACCAAACAGTTCATGAACGAGTTTCCCTCTGGATTCTCGCGAAGCAACCTATGGGGTTCAGGACAATTTTCAACGTGGACAAGAAGCCCTGTCAAGTGTGTCGGGAATGTTTGGATATAACCGTGAAACTCGACGAAGGCGAGAAGCAGTTGGAAATGCTCTTCAACCAACTTTTCGCACGTCTTTCTAACTCGGATGATTCCATGAGTTGTGAAGTTAAATCGGAATCTGTGGAGCCCATGATGCCAACACCAGTAGCTCAGATTAAAACGTGTGGCTCTATTGATGAAAATCGAATGCCCACCGAATTTGCCAAGAGCAGCATTCGGAAAAACCGCGGAAATAGAATGAATAGTGTGATGAAAGAAATTCTTCCGCCGTCGAAAGTTGAAAAAAGGTCTTCACAAATGGTTACCTCTGTGAGCAGTTTTTTTCTTCCAGTTCCTGACACCTGTAATATCTTCATTTATTTTTCTAACTGCAGGCCTTGAGGTCAAATGGACAGATTGATACGAGCCCTGACGCAACTCCGGCAAAAAGAACCACAATTCCTAATTCATCGGACGTCAAGAAAAGAATTTTTGTTGGTGAGAATTCTGCTGAGAAAGAAACAGTTTTGCGAACTTCCTCTGCAAAAAAGCGTCTCCGGTTGGAAAGTTCCAATGAAGTGAATGCGGTGGTGAGTTTCTCTGGTTCATTTTAATCATTTTCCGGTCGCATTGTACGTTCGTGAAGCATTTATGATTGTGGATCTGTTCTTCAGGGTCATCAGGCGGAGAAGGACGCATCCTGCTTTGTCGGTTTGGACGCGTGGGCTCTCCTAACCTGTCGGGTATGTAACGACGAGTTGGAGTCTTCGGAAAGTTTAGAAGAGCACTTCAAGATGCATCATGCGGAGAAATGCCCGTATGTGTGCCATTTCTGCCTTGCCCAATTTCAACGTCATGACGAGTTCAAGTTGCACGTGCTGTATGAAGAGCTTCAGAAATCATTAGACGAAAATTTCCGATGTTCAGTGTGCCAGAAGGACTGCCTCTTACCCACTTTCTTGAGCAAACACTGGAAACACAGTCATCGGAACTGCAAGGAAATCCGACAAGTTCCTTTTCATTGCGAAGAGTGCGATCTGAGATTTTTATCCTACGAAGATTTTGTGTGGCATCGGCGTTCAGACCTCGAAGCTCACAGCAAAGTAGACGGATGTCGTAGGGAGTTTCACTGTTACGAGTGCCGGTATGATGGGAAATCAGAGCGAGGCCTGCTCATGCATGTTGTTCGTCACCACGAAAAGGACAGCCCTTTCCAGTGTCCGCGGTGCAATTTGAAATTGAAGAATGCCGGTGACTTCTTGAAGCACTTGATCGAAACCGAGTTTTCCAAGGAGTCGCTCTGTGAAACTTGTGGATTACGGTTCTCCTCTGCAAAATGTTCTTTCGAGCATGCGAAAAATATCCATGGTGATGATGGACTTGGCTCGTGTGATGTTTGCGGTGATGTCATGTTCTCTAAGGCGATGGTGGATGAGCATGCCACGAATCACTGGATGTTGAAGTGTCCGTATTGTGAGCGAAAGTATCGAGCAAATGCTGTGCACGATTTCAGCGCTCACGTTGTTCTCCACAAGTCGGATTATTTTGATGAAAACTCCGTGTGCTTCCTCTGTGATACGGATCGGCAGAACAGGAAGGCTCTTTCCGACCACATTCGTTCAGTACATGGGAAAAAGTATCCCTTCAACTGTCCCAAGTGCAATGAGAATCATGCGACCGAGCTGCTTTACAACGATCACATAGCATGGCACAAAACGAATGCGATGCCTTTTGTTTCATCGTGCCCGTCAATAAGCCGATCTGTAATTCTAAGCCCATGTGAGTTAGTCCTTAGTTTCTGTTGTGAACTTATGATACAGTCCTCAGCTCAAGTTTCATTAGTGGAAAAATGTAGCTTGATAAATCAGCTCTCATATATCAGTTCATGCATACGGTATATCTCCGTGATTTTACTCTGAACGAAGGACCAATTCCTCTAGCTGTCAAAGGATATACTTGAAGACGTAGGAACATTCGATTCTTATACAGTAGTATTTCTTCTAGTGATTTTACTCTGAACGAAGGACCAATCGGCATTCCTCTAGCTGTCAAAGGATATACTTGAAGACGTAGGAACATTCGATTCTTCTAGTATTTCGGGAAGAACTTTCGGTTGATTTCGAACGTCATCTAATCTCGTGTAGACCTGGGGGAACTTCAATTTTTCTGTATTGTTCTGTTGATGGATATGAAACCTACCTCTTGACCACTCAAGTAGATCATGTCCTGAAGTCTGACGGCTATAAGCACATGTCATCCGTTATGCGAGGATTTTACTGTGTATGCAATAATATGAATATCTGTATAATATATAATTCATTTTATCACGTGAACAGAAACATTCTTTGTAAGAAAAGTTTGATTTTTTGTTTAATTTTCAGAAATTGACGCATTTTGTTGTTGCAAGAATGTGTCTAGGAAGCTTGTTTCAGAGTGTGACTATTCAGTAAGCTATTTGAGTGAGATGTACGATTTTCGTTCTATGTATATTCTTAAGAATATTCTGTTCATCCCGTTTCATTTTCGTGATTCGTAGCTCCCTTGAAGTCAGTTCGTGAGCGATCGCAAAGTGAACAGTCGACCCCCCTCTCACCTGCAGGCGGAAAGCGACGAATTTCAAACAGAACCCGTCTCCAGCGCAACGGTGAGGAAGCAAAATATTTCCAAATTTTTATGGTTGTTTTAATGCATTCGTTTTGTTCTGTCTGTCGTTGCAGTGAAACCGAGATCTATGTTACGTTGTGATTTGTGTGACTACAAAGCGGGGGATGCCGAAGTTCTCAGGTATCACGAATACCTCAAGCACGGTGTTCTGGATAAAACGAAGTTTTATAAACAATGCAACGTTTGCAAGAAAGAGTTCGTTATTTCCTCTATGTACGAGAAGCACTTATCTGTGAAGCATGGAATCAAATCTCAGGTGGAAGAAGGTCGTACGTCATTGATCAAGAAAAAGGATCTTGCTTATCTTGAACTGGATGCTGAAGAGGGAAAAGATTTTTCCGATGGTGAGACTTAATGTTTAAGTGATTGAATTATCTGCCAGGTGTCGGAAGTATTTCGGAGAAGTGCGTTTAATTTTTTTTTCTTCGAATTATCACTTGTGGAAAGGGTTGTTTTTTTGTAATGGAGATGAGACCATGAATTCTTTGTGTGACCACAAGTTACAATTCTATTCTCAGGAATGGAAGGGTCATTCTGCGATCGTCGCCAAAGTCATTTCAAAAACGAGCTTCAAGAAGAAAACGAGAAAAATGGCATATATAGAGAAGAAACGTTGAATGTCGGGATCGGGAATGACGATCACTACGCGAAGCTAGAAAATTCAACGTGGAAAAGCTCGTGAGAAAATTCGAAGCAAGATCTGTGTGTGAGAAGTACATTTTGCGCCGTCATGGTTCAAAATGAGCCATACTCGTGGGGATTTTCGTTCGGGCACTTGTACGCGGTTACTTTTTTTGACAAGTCCAGGTGATTTTGCGCAGTGTGTTGCGTAAATTTACGCGAGCTTGGACGTATGGGCAATTTTTGAATAAGAGATCACTCATTTTCATTTTTTGGAGTTTTTTACGGCAATTAAACCAGACGGAAGACGTTATTCGAGAATGGTCCAGTTTTCGTGGTAAAATAAGTGAGTGGTGAAAATTTAACTTTTTCTTGAACGGAACGGTTTTTCCAATGCATCGAATTTCAATTTGGAGTGAGAGAAAATTGGAGTTCAAGAAGGGATGATCTTCTGGAAAACAAGAATAAATACCGTATCTTATGTTCGACGAATTCTCATTGTGACTAAAAATTAGTTGATAATAAATGCACGCTTCTCAGCAGAAATTTTTGAAGATGGTGAACAGCGTAAAATAGTGAATACTTCTTGGTCACATGGACTATTGTATGATGAATCATGTAACATCTCTGGTTAAAACTCGTTTTTATCCTGATGTTATTTATTTATTTTTCTTGGCGATATTTTTGTCACGAAGTCCTGTTTTTCAGTAGTTTTCGAAGCATCCCAAGTCCGAAATCCGCCTTTTCTGTGCTACATCTGTGTCCTGAGAGAGAGTTCTGATCTAACGTTTGCGACAATTTATGCATTCTGCGGGAGATTGCTGCGAAGGTCCCGCAGAAATTCGCGATGCCTGCAAAAATGATTTAAATTTAATTATGCGAAATGAAGAAACTTGACCGCAGAAGTAGTGTCGAATTGAACGTGTGCTGGACAAAAACCAATTTTCTAGGTCTGATGTTTATTATATATTATTTGGTGATACTGTATCCGATTCTTCTTTTCGTTGAATCGGATTGAGTCAATGCGTGTCAAGTTCCGGTTACGGGCGAAGCTGTGCTGCTGGGTTGCTTTTTTGAGCTTAATTGGAATGCTGTTGTTCGAAGTTCAGGTTCATTTTTTTTCTCTTGCGGTCGAATTGTTTTTCTCTTGTCGGCGAATTTTTTACCGAACTGAATGTAATGATTTCGTTTTGTTAATTATGAAGAAAACGTTCCGTTTGTTTTGCGAATTTTTTCAAGAAGAAAAAGTATTTGCTGCCTCTCCTTTGATTTTGAGTTCAGAAAGTGATGATAGTTCATCACGAGATTCGCAGGTGGTCTGAGGATTTCAATCAGTTAAAACGAGGGGTTTCTCAGAATGCTCGTAAGTGGCTTTGAAACTTGGGTTCAACCTCATCAGATGTGGAAGAAAATCTGTTCGATTATCTTTAATCGCTTATTCGAAAGAAAAAAAAATTAATTAACCCGCGAACTGATGGAAGGTGATGAAAAGTTAACTTCTGGAAGTGGCTTGCATCTTGGGACACTGAGTAGCTTGTAAGGTATATCATTCCTAAGTCCTTTTCAAGTCAACGGTGTGCCGCTACGAAGCCCTGAATCTGTCGATTGTTTTCAAAATCTCCTAATTTGGCAGCTGTTGAAGTGATCGGCGAAAAAGCTTGAGCCATCGCGGAGCAAGGCTTCGGGATGGATCTATTGCCGAAGAATGAGCGCCTTTTTGTTTCCTTGACAGTCTAAAATGTTTTTGATCAGTCAACATTTTAGAAATTCCTGGGTGCCTTTAATTTGTTGCTGACAGAAGGTCGGATATTTTTCAGCGATCATTGACTGAATCTTGCTCAACCGTGTTCTTTTTGTTCATTATGAATTTTAGGCCATTTATCGCTCTTGAGAAACCCCTCATACCTGAAAATCTCCTTTTTACTGAGAGTTTATCCCTGAGTATAATGTCTGAAATAATTCAATTCCATGTCATTCTTCGTAGTCCGGTCTTCTATTTTCAGGGAGAATGTTTCGACAGCGGTTGAAAACTTCGATCAAGCTTTTAATTAACGTTTTGAATTCGCGCGTTTGCATTAATATTTATTTTTCACGATTTTTTTCATATTTGCATTGTTTAAACTTGTTTTTCACTTGAGGAAAGTTTTTCCTTCTTTGTTGTATAGTTTTATAATTCGTGGATTTTCTTTGTTCGTAGGCAACTTTCGGTTTGTCGAAAATGCAGCAACGTAAGGTGAGGCGGGGAGCAGCGCCAGACGGTGCTTGTGTTCTGTGTCGCGTCAAAAGCTGCGATAATTCGGACTTCGACAATTACGTGTTGTCGAATTCGGGAAGAACAATGCCGGAAGGACTTTCAAAGTGGAAGCATTTTGTCGACGGGAGCAAAGGCAAAGAATTCGAGTCGACTGCGAGGAGTCTCAGCAAACGCTCGTTGGTGATGTGTTCGCCGTGTTCCAGTCTCGTTGATGAGATCGATAATTCGGAACAACAGCTGGTGAAGCTGTTGGAGATGCTGTGGTTGCGGCTCACTGCCCCGATTCCGGAGGTCAAAAGTGATTTAGTATTTTCGGCTGCCTTGGAAGCGGGGATTATGAATCAGAAGAAGTTTGATGTGGTGTCTGAGGAAATTTCCGACGATAGATTGCTGAACTTTGAAGAGACCAAAGAGGACCCTTTTCCCACGTTGTTCCCTGTGGAAATAAAGATAGAATCGGATGGCGCCGCGGAAGAAGCTTTCATACCAGTCGCAGGCTCTTCTGGCGTCGAACCTGGACCAGATTCCATCCTTGGCAAAAGAAAGGTAATATTTCTTTTTTCGAAAATTTCTTCGAGCATTTCTGAGACTCACTATTTGTTCACTTCTTCTCAATTCAGCGAGGTAGGCCCAGAAAATACCCCTCACCCTCTGGAGAGTCCGCACTTGGATCAATGAAGCAGAAGAAGGTGTGGCTTCACGATTCAGTTCTTCCTTTGTTCAACTGACATATTTCAATCATGTTTTCAGCCGAAGAAGTCAAAAAAAGCCAAAGAAAACGATTCAAACGGCCCTGTTGATTCGAAAGAAGATATTTCAGACGACGGAAGCAGCGATGAAACTTTGTTCGGGAATGATGCTAATTACCTTAGTATGGAAGAGTTTTTGGAGGGGAACCTGGAGTTGCCCGATCGAAGAGTGAGAAGTGCTTATTCTCCTTGTTTATTCTCCTTGATGAATTGATTTCAAATTTTCTCCCAGGGGAAGAAAGCAAAAAGTTTGAAAGAAGGTGGACCGCCGTCTTTCGATGAATCAGGCGAGGACGGTGAAAAGAAGCCTCGAAAACGACATACCTTCGATCCGGAAAAGTTGAAGGTTGGTATTTTTGATGGCAAAATGCATTGCTGTTCGATGTTTTCTTCTCCTTTGACTCCTTTGATGTTTTCTTTTGAAAATTCAGCAGAGAGGAAGACCGAAAAAAGAGCCGAGGGAGAAGTGGAAGTGCGAAGAGTGTGGCATTCTGCAGTTCGAAACTCTGCGAGAGTTCCGGAAACACCAAAGAACTCATTCAACGACTTTATGTCCGATCTGTGGTCTGTTAATGAAAGACTCATCGGCAAGTACAGTGCAGAAACACATAAGTGTGGTCCACTTCGGCGAGAAGAGGTTCGAGTGCGAAATTTGCCATGAAAAGTTCGCATATGCGGAAAGCATGTATGCTCATCAGGCGAGAGAGCACAAATTCAAAGGTATGTTAAAATTATTTTTTTTTCATAGGAATCTGGAAGAAATCTGTACTCACCAAGTCTCACGAACGCTTTCTAAGATCTCAGATCCTAACTGGTGATGAAAGGTGATTTCTCAGTGGGGCAGAAGTCCGAAGTGGAAGTCTGTGGTGTGCTGTTCTTCCGAATAAGTTGAGGTTTCTTCCCTGAGGCAGGCTATTTTTCTATTCAGACCTATTTGGAAAACTAAGTAAAATTTTATTGTAATGGGGGAAATGCCACATGCGTCTGCCATGGCCATTAGTGTGGCTTTCGAAAAAATAATCTGAAAATCTCTTGAACGTTCACGGTTCTTCTGCATTTTGAAAAATTGTTTCTACATTATTGGTATTTTCTTCTTGCCTACTGTTTTAGCTGAAAGAGTGCATCAGCCGTGCCAAATTTGCGGCAAAGTGCTAACTTCGCGCTGTGGACTGCGCCAGCATCTGCTACAAGTGCACGATTACGTCCGGGATCACTACACCGTCTACCCATGTACCATTTGTGACAAGAAATTTATCCTGAAGAGCAAGCTCAGAGAACACATGAACGTTCACGAGGGCATCCGACCCTTTGGCTGTCCTTTCTGCTCGTTGTCTTGCAGCAAATTCGGCAATATGAAACAGCATGCTTTGAAGGTGCACGGAAAAATTGTGAAGCGGGCGATTGACGAAAACGGAAAGATCACTGATAATGTCATTGAAGCTGAACCACTGTACGAGTCTTTGATTCCAATCGGGAATAGCAAAGTTGAGATGATGTAACGTTTGTATGTATCTGAGGGAAATGTTCAATCTACTTCACGGGGAGGTCAGAAACTCAGAAAAGGTCAGTTTCCTGTTTTTAGTATATTTATGACGGTTCTTCGAATTTTGATCAGGCTCTCTGTTTTGAAAATGTCTTGTGTGTATCTGTACTTTTGGTGAATCAGCCTAGTTAAATTGAAGCTTTACTTCTGAATTGCAAGTAACTGTGAGGCGATGAGTTTTTGGATGTGGCTAACGAACTCATGAACCGAAATTTCTGTACCTCCCCATCGTGAATTGTCTCGTGTGCTTTTGTGATCAAGTACAAGTCGGATCCCTTTGGTTCCTGTGCATGTTTCAAATAGTTGTTTTAAGGTACGTGTTTTCATGTGGGAACTTATTTTTGGACAATTGAACGTATGTTCAAGATTCAAGTGTTTTTGGATTGTGTGAGCAAAGCAAAAAATACTCGTGGTCTCAAAAAGTCTTGACGCGAACAAAATGTGCGTGGGTGTATCAGAAAGTTTGTTCATTTGAAGTGTATGACTTCTTTTGCTGCCTTGTTATTCAGTGGAACAACTTGAGACAGAAGTGGAAGATTTTCTTCGGAACATTGTTCCAGCTGCTCTTATTTTGGAAAGAGAAAGTGTTCAAAATTTTGGACTTCCCAGTTTCACTAAGCGCGTGGAAATGATCGCATTTCTTTTCCGGATTCTTGGCAGGTGGTGATCCTGGGAGGCTGTTTTTACGTTTATGGTTTTCGTGGAAGAGAAAAAAATAACTTGAAAATTGTCGCTATCATTGTAAAAAAAAATTAGAATTTGTGGTGAATTATTTCACGATGATTTCCGTTCATTAGATTCCATGATGCATCGGAAAGTGAGGAAGAAAAACGAGGTCGTTGACAACCTTTGCGTCATGTGTCGGGCGGATATTGGCGGCGTTGATCGCGTCAGAATTTCTATTTTGTTCAGTTCTGGGAGGAAGGTTTCGGAATGTTTGGAGAAGTGGAGGAGTTACGTTGATCCCGTGAAAGCAAAAGGATTGAAGTCTGCCGCAGTGTCAATGCGAAAGCAGGCGGAAACCGCAATGTGTTCTGCTTGCTTCAATCTGGTTGACGAGATTGATAACTCTGAGCAACATCTGGTCAGTCTTTTGGACATTCTCTGGGTCAGGTTAAAGGTCCAAATCTCACGAAGAGCTTCACGTTCAAGCCCCAGCGACTCAAACGAAGTACTCATCAAGCAAGATGAATGTTCTGATGTGGCAGAACCACATGCGCAAGAATCAACAGTTGAATCTCATGACTCCTCGTCTCTTCTTGAACCTGTACGTATTTTATTGTGGATTGCGTATTTGTTCAGAAAGCGGTACGAGGGAAATAGACAACGAATATAATTCTAAAAAATTAGGCGATATTCAATAAATTGCCCGTGTTGAAACAGAGCCATAATGGGTTATCAAGCCATTTTCGTTTCCTGTGACAATGAAGGAGAACAGATAGTTCTCCTTCTATTTATCCACTCCTTTTCCATATACTTCCAGATGAGAAAAGCTGCTAAATCGTCCCCGCGTGCCAATGACCGTGACCCGATCAAGGAAACACTTCCGAGTTCCTTATCCGATTTATCTGATCGTGTGAAAGCCAGTGGTACCTTTCCGGTCGAGCATGATACTACCGTTTGGAAGCCGAAAATTGAACCAAGTAACTTTGATGACAGGTGTGAGAAAAATGGGCTTCAAGAAAAAGACAAAACTCCGGTTCGTGAAACTTCGTGCTTGATGATTACTTCTTGTACTCAGTAATCAGGGATTAAATTTCTTTTTGCAGAAAACTGAAGTATCTGATCCAGATTTTATGGATTCTTCACCGACCCTCTTGCAATGCCCGAAAGAAGATTCGCCCGAAAATGCGAAAACTTCCCCGAATGTTCCTGCAGTCTCAAAAGTAAGCTTCGATGGATCAGTACTGTAGTTGAATTTTCCTTTTCCCTTCAACTTTCTAATGGACTTCCAGAATGTCTAGCAATTGTCGCCTCAATTACTGACATGACAAACGTTGCCAACTTGACCTAACTCATGTGATTCTACTGACCAAATAGTATCGCCAAAAATGAGACATGTTTGTTGTATTTTTGGGTAACACGTGTGTAACACCGAGTGAACTCACGCAGTTGAGCGTTGAAGTAAGAAATATGACATTAAATTATTCATTAAAATACAGCACAGTCCTGTATTTCAATGATCTTCAGAAGCATTTCATGGAAAGATTAAAATTATTGATCTTCGGAATTCGAAACAATTTATTGCAGCGTTCCAAGAAAATCGGCACAGACCCAACAGATTGGAAGTGTGATCGATGTGACATCCCCGCATTCACATCTCTTCGAGAATATCGCAAGCACCGGCGCAGCCATTTGTCAACGCTTTGTCCGATTTGCGGGATTCTACTGAAGGATTCTTGTGCCAGTACTGTGAAGAAGCACATTGGGATCGTGCACTTCCGAGAAAAGCGGCTCGAGTGCGAAATTTGTCAGCAGAAATTTGCATATGCAGAAAGCCTTTATGCCCATCAAGCTCGTGAGCACAAGTACAAAGGTATGACACAGATCTTCTGGAGGCTAAGCAGCCTTTCCGATCTTCGATGATTTTTGTGCTTTGCCTTGAATTTTCTCACATTCACTAAATCAGATCAAGTTATCTTCTAAAATGTTTAATTACAGATACGTGATGGTCAAGCATAGCGTGTTCTATTAATAATTTTTTTGCATAGTAAATCCCTGCGTAAACGGTTCGCAATTTTGTTTGCAATTAGTTTTGTTGACTTGAATTTTGTTCGTTACTGGTCTTATCAAGATTATTTAAAATAATGTACTTCAAGGTATGGCAGGTAAAATCAGGCTTGTTCGCCTCAGTATGTTACTCTGGTAGATTAGGTTAGTTTGGTTTGATAATTTCTCTGGGTTAGTGATATGTCGATTTCTGCGAAAAAAAAAAGATTCGGTGTAAATGCATCTCGGATTCGTGATGCTGTTCATTTACTCAATGATTGAGAGTCGACAATTCCCTCCTCCGTAAATCAGCTGTGGTATCAGATCTACAAGAAAATAAATTTCATGCAGAAATTGAATGAAATGATACTTTTTTTTTAAATTTCAGCTGAAAGAGTCCATCAACCATGTCAAATATGTGGCAAAGTCCTGACGTCTCGGTGTGGCTTGAGACAACACTTGCTTCAAGTGCACAACTACGTCAGGGACCATTACACGGTGTACCCTTGCAGCTTGTGTGACAAGAAGTTCATTCTAAAAAGCAAGCTAAGAGACCACATGAACGTTCACGAAGGGATCAAACCATTCAGCTGTCCCTTCTGTCCCCTCACTTCAGGACAGTTCGGCTACTTGAAGCAACATGCATTTAAGGTTCATGGTAAGGTCGTGAAGCGCCTCCTGGACGACAATGGAAAGGTTACTAATCAAGTTGATGAAGTTATTCCAGGGGAAAATTCTTGAATCATTCGGGAAAACGGTGCTGTGTTACCGATTTTTGTGATATTTTTGTACGTCAAAATGTCGCTTTGTGAACTAATGTTTCATCGTCAACTCATGTGTTCCTTTTACAACCCTTGGAAGTACAGTATTTATAATACAGTACAGTATTCAATATTATTCATCACAAAAAAGAAAGAGGATTTAAGGTTTCATGTTCAGCCTGACAAATTCTCGTGTCATCGCGGGTTGTATGATGTGTTTCATCGATTTAATTCCGAGTTTTAGTGGAAATCTATGAGTAGACCAGTATGAAGTTAATTGATTTTAGACATAGATATCTCGTAAACGGTTCGAGTTGTCTACCTTGGATAAACCGCGACATTGAAAATGATACGGATTCTTTCTTGATGAATTCTAATCCAGCTGCTTAAGTTGAACTTCGATGAATTTTGTCCTGGGTCATGTTTTTACTAGCTGAATATATCTATTTGATCTTGATTGTGCCAAACATTGTGAACAGTTAATTGGGTGATTTGTGTAATGATGCGTTATCATACGAGAACTCCCGCTGGTAAAGAAACCACTTCTGAATTTTCGCTCAGCCCTCTTTCGGTCCACCTTTCATTTCACAAAAATTCCAGACTGAGCTTTTGAAGTATAATTTTCCGTTTCACTTACATTCGAATGACTGAACTTATAAGCATCGGCTTCCGTTGGAGACTCGAATTATTCAATTTCGTGCTGTGTCGGATTTTATTATTTCCATGTAAAGCGAAACCGTTTCATTCTTATTTCGATGGTTTTTTAACATTTGTATTTTTTTGATGTCGTTAGGATGAATTCGGACGTTGGTGACGAAGGGAAGTGCGGCTTGTGTGCAGAAGTGAGTTCCATCGCTGGCACCGCGGCAGCATGCATTCTTCCGTTAACCGGAGATACTGTGGCGCAGAAGCTGGAAAAATGGCGGGTTTCTCGCGCGCCACCCGAACTGAGAGACTCCAAGATCCAAGCAGACATGCTTGTGTGTCACACGTGCCTAGAGTGTCTAGTCCATGTCGAAGAAGTCGAAATGGCCATGATTGAAGGCTTTGAGTCATTGTGGAACCGTTTTATTGCCCTTAAACCTGATAACAATCCCAGCGACGATCTGCTCGACGACATATTACAGACGGCCACTTACGCTGCCGGGATAGAAGAGGACTTTATTTTTCCACCGGAAGTGGATAAAGTGGAGTTGGTTGAAGAATTGAGCAAATCTGCGTCTTTCGAAATCCCGAAAAGTGTTCCCAAGAAGATTAGTTCGTCTGCGCTTGTACAAAACATCGGAAAAATTTGCATCCGTCGAGTTTCCGCCGAACCGAGTTTGGAGGAGAAAAAGCCGGATTTTTGCGATGATGAAGATTCATGGCCTGATCCTTCGACTGCAGAGCGATCGATTAAAATCAGGGTGAGCGATTTAGTGACATATGCTTGACTTTCTTAGATTAGTCGGGAAAATGGTACTTTCCTGTTATCTCAGTGCCCATTTTTCTTTGTCTCGTGAATTCAGTATTGGTTAGGTTAGGTCAGGATATGTTAATTGAGAGATATTTGTAACTAACATAACATAACCTGACCTAACCTAACTTTACCTAACCTCCTCCCAAAATCAGTTTCAGCAGAATGCGGAAAAATGAAATTCACAGTTTCTGGTAGGTGCACGGAAATTAGGTCCTGAGATAACAGGAAAGTACCGGGAAAACTAGGTTTTGAATGATTTCATTCGAAATTCCTAGTTCTGTTCCATGAAATATTTCCCAGGTTTATTTCTATTTTCATTTTGGGAAGCAACAACAGTTTTCTCATCACGTCGAAGATCCACTGCAATTCGTGGGACTGTTGAATATTTTGAGATTGAACGGAAGCATTATTTTTACATTCCGTATCCACTCAAGTGCAGTATGTTCGGGACTTTTTAATGCGTCCAAATGGATAACTGTTTGAGTCTGCGAGTTTAAGACGCATTTTCACGGCGTTAAATTAGAAATAATTTTTTCGTTGAATCTACTCGCGCTTCAGTTACTTAATCCTGTTACACTTCCAGCGGAAATAAGGTTTATAATTCTTCTGTGTTGAAAATGAAGATTGCAGGAAGGTTCAGCTTCGTTCAATGGAATTCCTGGTTTATTTTTAATTCAAAATTATTTCATTGTTACATCTGAGAAACAAGCGCACTCCGGAACTGCTACCCTAAAACGCCATCACTTTTGCAACGATCACTGAATTTTTCAAGCCACTGGTAATCATGTGCGCATTCGAATACCTTGTACTGCGATGCCAGTAGGTGTGTTAATACTGATCCTTGTCAGTTTTAGTCCTCACTTGGACCAATTCTATTCCGAACTCCGAAGTTCATTTTTCTAAGCAAACTTCACTGTCAGCATCACCTTTTTTCGAATTAATTTTGGAAAAAAATGTTTCTTATCGGAATTCGCTTTGCTGAAAGCTAAGATTTAATCTTTCCTGTCGAATGTGATTCATTCGGGTGGAATATTTAGTTTTAAGTAGTCTGCCCAAGATCAGATTTACTTCGAAATTGAAATTTGTTTTTCAATGCTGGTAGTGTGCGCTTTTAGCTCACGTCCTTATCCATTTCTTCCCGTGTGATGGAATAGATAGATTAGTTGGAAAGAAGTTTGGAAAAGGGTTCGATATTGAACCCAGAACATTCTGTCAGTTTCTGATTGAAAGGCGTTAGCACTGACACGTCGAAGCCTTAAAATGAGGAAATGAATCGATCCGCGCGGTTCATTTCTGTATTGTCAAAACGAAAGAGTGTCGATAACTCAAGTTTTGAATCCCTATCTAAATTTCCACTTGCTCAACCATCCCAAGGTTCGTCTCGCCGCAGATTGGCGTGACGGTGTCCCGCTTCGAGTGGGATCTTCTTGTTCTTGAGGGGTTCCGTCATTTTCCACCCAATCACGTATTCTGTTTCTGAGGTCCTCGGGTATCATTCGATGTCTGTCATTTGAGCTATCAGTCACAGAACTTTCGTCGCTGTGGATGGGTTCAAATCGCTGCGTCGGAACTGTGCAGACTCCTTGAGGCTCTGAAATTCTGATGGTTGGGATCAGGATTTTTGTTGCGTGCCGTTGGAAGAATTCGTTGCTTGGATCGGTTTTATTTGCGATTACTGTTAAATTTCCAGATTCGGATCGTGGCAAGTGCGTCGCCTGAACGATCGTTTCACATGGTTCAGAAACAGTTAGGCTTTTGGGATGGTCGACAGGTCTTTCTTGGAAATTGATTTCACTTTTCGCATGGATAACCTCTTGCTTGGGACCGATGGACTGAGTTGAGGATCCGTCGATATGCGTCGAGTTACTCGGTACTGTCACCTCGTGTTTGACTTCTAGGTGTTTCAAATGGTACCTGGATATTCCATCGTAAAATGCAGTGCAACCGCGTTAAGTCGAATTCCAAGGGACCCGCAAAAAAAAATCGAGGTCGGGAAACTAACACTTCTGCATTTGAGAAAATTAAGAATTTAATTCAGTTGAAATACGTGGTATTTTTCGGCCCAAAATTGCTTCGAGAATAAATTAACAGGATGCTGAACTTAAAGGCAAGTGTTCATTTGTCTAGTTATTCTTCCACCTCCTTTCAAAATGCATCAAGTTACATCTTATTATTTTTTTGTACTCTGGATCACGATATAACATCCAAAATGCCTCTAAAAAATTTGAGTTATGGAGGTTTGAGGGGGAAAGTCGTCGAGTTGGCGAGATGTTTAATGCATTGTTTCCAAGGGAAAACAGGGACTTGAAAAATTCAAAAAGGAAGTTAGAGTACTCTAGGTTGAACTGTACATATTTTACGAGATTCTCTTGTTCTTCAGAGGTAAACGCATTTCTGCGTGCAGTCGGGAAAATGTGCCCTTCTATTTTTCGAAGAATTTTTATCGACACATTTTTTTCAGCCATTTTTTGACACATACAGTTCTATGATTTGAAAGAGCCCCTAGTTCTAAATTTTAGAATTGAAGCAAATCTCAAAGAACTGCCGAGCATGTGTCTTTCTCGTCTTCTTTTTTTAAATACAGCAGCATGGTGGTTGTAGACTTGTGCAAGTTGAAGCCATGAATTTACTGCTATAAAAGTAGGAAAGTAAATCGTGTGCTGTACAATATTATTCATTTTTTAATTGAGAGTTGTTGCTCGAATCGTTCAAAACGTGTCACCATTTTAAAATCGGCAAATATGTATGTAGACTGTAAACGATTTTCGTTACCCATGTTTTTTGTTTCCGAGTGTTCCTGCGTCAGCTGATCGGCAGTGATGCAATTCACGCACGTTTTCCTTGTCAAATGTTGATACCACTTTTTCGGGTTCAACATTTACTGCTTCCAAGTACTTCGGAGGCTCGTTGACGATCCTTGGGAAACAGGTAGAGGAAGTTTTAAAAATAAAAAAGAAGAAAACAATTTTAATTATATTTTGCCTCATATTGCCGTTCAGTTTGTTGGCTGAAAGGTGGCTGAGTAGTTCTGGAATGTCGAAGTTGTGAGGAAGTTCATAGTTGATCATAGTTCGATATTTGCAAGCAGTTAAAGGAGGTGATCTGCGTGGAGATTTTCTCAGTGTTGAAACGTGTTGTGGGTACAGGGTGTGAACGACCGGGTTACGCCACGTGTTCCTGTCGCGACGGATCATCAGGTACAATATTAGAATTACAGTCAAACTTCGAGGGACCTTAAAAATCGGGTACTTTCCTGTTATCTCAGGACCTGCTTTCCGTGCACCTACCAGAAACTGTGAATTTCATTTTCCGCATTCTGCTGAAACTGATTTTGGGAGGCGGTTATGTAAAGTTAGGTTAGGTCAGGTTATGTTAGTTACAAATATCTTTCAATTAACATAACCTGACCTAACCTAACTTCACCTAGTGCTTATGTTAGTTTAGTTGTCAGGTTATGTTACAATAGTTACAAATATCTCTCAATAACATAACCTGACCTAACCTAACTTTACCTAACCACCCCCCAAAATCAGTTTCAGCAGAAATCCAAAGAAAGCAGAAACTGATTTTGGGAGGTACTGAGATAACAGGAAAGTACAAAAAATCGTAATAGGAGGATTTCGAGTTCGGGGAACAATCATTTATGAAAGAAGAATTACAGGAAATTGTAATTCGTGTTAATCTTAACCGTAAGTCGCTTTTTAAATGAGTTGACAGGGTGCTTAACTAGGAGGCAAAGGTTCGTTTACCCAATTAATCTTTTACTCCCTTTCAAAACACATCACTGTGCATTTGTATTGATTTTATCTTTCCTGTGTTGGTAAATTAATAGCCAAAAGGTCTCCGGAAAATTCGAGTTATGGAGGTTTGAGGTGAAAAGCTTCTGAGTTATGGATGTATTGTTTCCAAGGGAATTCAGACTAGGACATGAAAGAAATCGTTTTAGGGAGTTTTTAGCTGTAGAAGTTATAACTGTTTTTTTTCCTTCACGAAAGTCCACTTTTATCAAATGTAAAAAAGTACTGAACCTTTTTTCGTGGTGTTTTCGACAGCGTTGAACCTTCGGTTGATTTACTGCCACGTTGTCTGGAGACAAATTCTGTGGTTCGGTATTTCTTGCGATGTTCTTATTCGAAAGGCGTATTCGATGATGTCGACGTACAGGCTCGTGTTTATTTCTCCGCGTTTTTGACCGAGAAACGTCTTCTTGATCGTGTCTATTTCTTGGGAGAGCAAATGCCGTGAAAAGAGTCGCTGCATAAAGCACTTGCATCGGCATACCGTTTTCGCCGACTGAGAGACCGAGGTGTGTATGTAGATGTCGCTCTTCTTTTACAGCTGTTGGTCTTGAAATCGTCGCTCGACTTGTAATCCATTGCTGGGGTTGAACAGGAGGTAGATAACACGAGCGTGCTTGTGGCATGGTTGGATGTCCAGCTCTGGCAACTGGACAGTCTTTGTTTAGATTGCTTGCGTGCCACTTGGATCCATTCGGTTAAACACGTCTCTGACGAGTTCCTCAGCTTCTGTTCGTGGAATCACAAGATACGAAGGACGATGCTATATATAAGGCTTCATTCTTGAGATACTTCGCTAGGTTTCATTGGGTTCGGAATGAATGTTAATTTTAACTGATGTCAATTTGGTTTTAGATGCTCCTGAATGTGTATGGAAATTTTTCTTCAGCAATAGGCACTTCGAAAAAAATGAGTTCGTGCTTTAAACTTTCTACGGAACGTAATAAGCTGGTACAGTGGATATTTGTCCGAGTCCCTGATCAGGAATGCACAAATATCAGTCAGCTGTCCTAATTTCATATTGAAACTCTTTTTGTTTCTATAAATTGTGGGCGTATGTGAAGTTCGTTTTTTTCGAATCTTCCAAAATGTAACTTGGAAGTTGTGAATCTTTTAATTGTGTAAAATCATGCGCGGGTTCCTCTTGTGCTACAGGTGAAAATTGCTAGTTCAAGAAAAATCGCCCCTTTGTCACGGATAGTAAATTCAATTTATTCAAACTTTTCAAAGGAAGAGATTTTCTTTTCTAAATGCATTGTAGCCTAGTTAGCTGGGTTTCCAAATTTGTGGTGAGAACATTAGTTTAATTCCTTGGAGTAAATTTGGAACGAAAATTATTTTTCGCTTTTCGTTAAATTCATTCCAAGTCTTCTTTTGAAGTTTCTTAAAATACCGATTTTTTCCTGATGCATTTGCTTGGAACCCGATCAACTCACTTCACTCGTGATGCATCTGTGTATACTTGTATGTCGAATTAATAACTTTTTACCGGGGAAATACACTTCTGTAAACGTATAAATCTAATGGTGACCGAGAGAAAAATAGGTCCGTTAGGAACTCCATTAAACATTTTTTGTCATCTAACCTTGTTTCGACGTATGATGCTAGCCGAAAGGAGCTCAATTCTCGTTCCTGAAAATGAGTTGCAGTGATACGAAGAATCCGGAATCTGGGAGAAACTTTGGTCTGAGATATCTTGAGCTGGTTCAGTTCTCCGTTTGTCCAGGGAACGTGTGGTACCGCAGTCTTGGAGATGGTGCAACGAAGTTCTCTCGACTACCTGTCCCTTTTCTGGGTTCTTCGCTACTATACTCGTATTGCTAATGTCACAAATTGAAGAACTGGTCGTTGACCATTCCGCGTAATTTTGCAACGCGTCGATCCTTCTGTGATGTCGGGAAAGGTTCATCGCACTTCCTGATTGCTCCCTGAAGTGCATTTGAGTCTGGATTCCGTCATGCGTGGAATGCGATTTGCTGCATGTCGATCTTTGCTGAAAACTGCTGGATCTCTTCGGTTTCAATTTGTTGGCCTCTTTAGGGTGCTTCTGGGAAGGTGGGGTTAGGGATTCGGTCGGGATTTCCGTGGTTAGCCCTGAATCCTGACCCTCAAAGTGTTGCAAAGTCTTGAAGAACGGATTGGTGTCGGGCACTGTGATGAATCGCACAGAGCGAATGGATATACTGGGAAGAGAAACCTTGCTGGATTGTTTGCTCGCCAAAGAATCGGATGTGTTGTTTTTGCTGGGTAAATGTTCCTGAGATGTTTGCGTCTGACTGGAAACTGGTATCGAAACCAGGTTTGTCCACGTTGATGTTTCGCATTTTTCGGGGTTGCTGCTGGTTTGATTCAGCGTCAGTTCCTGCATGAACCGCTGTGGACATCCATTAATTTCATATTTTTTAACTACTGGTTTTAATATACTTTTTAGAGAAAAGTTCTGTGATCGGATTTTTGAAAACCTTCGTACAAAAATCCTAGTTCAACACTGTAATTTTCTTCTGATTAACTTATGGGTTTCAATATGCATCGTGTCGATCGTAACTCCGGCATTGAATGCAATTAAAATCATTTTATAAATTTACGAATCATCATGATTTTCTTAGCTGCAATCGAGATAATTACTCACGAGATACCGTTTTAGCTCAGAGGTCCGGAGTTTTTTAAAATTGTTTCCACTGTGCCAATCATCAAAATTGTAGAAGGTTTGGTCTCATAAAAAAAAACCTTTTGTAACATAACGTGTGGCAAGTTCTTTATGTCTTTTGTTATTATAAAATTAGAAATCCATCTCGAAGTGTGACCCTTGAAAATGGAAATCATTACAGTTTGTCCCTGCATAATAAAAAATTCGCTCAACAAAAAATCCGTATAGCGAAAATTCTTCAGAGGAAGAACCTGACTCGCGGAAAGGAAAGGTTTCGCATAGCGATTTTTTTTTATCAGAAAACTCAACTTCGAAAATGTTTAGGCTAAAACTTGGGAATTTTAGCGAAAATCGAGGAAATTCCAAAAATAAGTGCTTATTTTGCCTCTTCTGGTCCATAAATTCATGAAGTTCAGAGCTCCAACTTTCCAGGATTAGCACTGCTCAATTCAAAGTTTGAATTTTTGCGCAGAAAACTCGAGAGGAAGTACGCAGTTTTAGGGTTTATTATGGCTTCCGGGAGAGTGCCTATAATGAATTACATTGTTTTTGATGTTACCTTAGGGGGAAATTGCATTTTGAATTACGAAAATGCGTCCCAACGAAACGGTTCAGTTCCTTGGGAACCAACTGTAAATTTGAAGGATGACGAACAAACTTGAAATACCAAGAAAATTTAAATACACTAGTTCCGACGAAACACTGTACTGGTAAAAGTTGGTAGTTTATTTTCTTTACCATACTGTGTGCACTACCTGCGGAGTTGACGGCGAAAGGGCCTGACTTTTCTCGATGAATCTTTGCATCATTCGAAGAATCAGTTCAGCACTGAAATGGTCAACTTTCTTTGGGTTCGCGTTGCCCGAGTGGGTTTGTATCCCGCTGTCGTCATCTGCATGTTTCGCGATAGAAGACACTGCTGAATTTCTTCGTATCAGAATTTCCGGGAAAGCTTTGATACACTCCAGTTGCGATCTGGGACAGAGAAAAGTGGCTTGAACAGCGTTTGATAAATCAACCTCTTGCTTTTGGCACAAATCATCGACGTTTGAAGTTGGCGTGCTATTGTGACCCCGGAAACCGAAGTCTCTCGAACATGGATTAGACGTGGATAAATAAGGAATGCTGCGAAGATCTTGTCCTGAAATGGACTCCATCTTGTGCTGATTTGGAGAAATACCCGAGTAGCCCACAGATTGAACACTGGAGCTTTCCGGCGTTACTTTGGTCAACACGGATATCAAACGTCGCTCTTCGAGGAATGGAAAACGGACTCTTCCTTGCTTCGATTGCAACCCACTACTCTCTTGCATGCTATTGGTCAAATTGTTCTCTGGTGTCGCTTCAGCATCAGATTCGGTGACTGAATCGCTGAAAGAATAAAATACACTAGTATCAGAATAATCTTAATTGCATTTAAAGTACTCGTATTTGTGTTTGATAGTCGAAAGGTCACTGTTCTGTGAAAAATATCTCTTTTATGGAGGAAATGGACGTAGTCCATCATTGAAAGTTTTGAAACGCATTGCTTCAGTTCAAAATCGCAAAAAAATCAAATCCAGTAGTGCAGTATCAGAGTAATCTGAACTGCATGGAGAGTGCTTGTTTTGGTGTGAGATTATCGAAAGGTCACTTTTTTCAATTCCTCTCCCAAAACAAGTCGAACGTATTGTTTCAATTCAGACTGATTACGCTGGGACTCGCACGATAAATAATGTGAACATCTTGCACCGAGTCAGGCCATTGGTATTACAGTTTTGTATTGGCGTGAATTTTTTTGAGTAGCTATGGAAATTTCGTGTCGTTTCAAATGTAATTACTCTTTTAGAGGGAAAATTTAAACTTAAACTTGAAATCAATCACCAACATTTCACTGAATGCACTTATTGAGTTGCACTCGTCTCCGAAAACGTCAAAATTGACTGCTCAGAAATTTTTCCGACTATCAACTCAGCATTTTCGTATTTCACGAACTATGACTGAAGGTGAACTCTTTTTGAAACGAAATTCCAGAAACAGAAAGAAAAAATAATCGTAGAGAGAAAGTCGTTGTAGAGAACTCTTATGGGGCTAAAAAAATCTTTATGAAGAGAGTATTCCTTTTGACATTCTCAAATGGAGTTTGTTTTAGAATCCAGCTCGCAATACTGATTCAGTCGACAGTAAAGTGTAGTTAGTGATGTCGCTCAACTCAAGGAATCATTTTTTTCTTGGCATGAACCACTCATAACTTCGATCGTGAAAGACATGGAAGCGATCGTGAGGTATTTGGGATAGTATCTTATCTTTCAGTACACATTGAAAATTGTAATGGGACGTAGGTTCTAAATGAGACGGAATCGAATAATATTTCCTCTTACATGTCAGTCTTCGATTCACATCGAACGATGTCATCATCTCCGTTAGGTGCGTGATGATCGCACGAAAGCGAAATCTGCGTTGGTGAACTCCTGGTGGATTTCAAGTTTTTCGATTCAACGATTTCGTCGAAGGCGCTGAGATCGATGCTTTCAGAGCTCAGCGCACGGTATGAAGATTCTGGCTGGGATCTTGTTATAACCTCCTGAAGTTCACAAGAGAATTCCTGTTTTGGTTGGGATAGGAAGACAGGCATTCCCCTTGGTGCCAGGCTTTTCAGTCGTTCGTTCCACGCATCCCAAGCTTGATTTCCATATTCCCAAATGTCGGCTTTGCCATTTCCGCTCAATAGGATCCCGGATGAGTGAAATAGAACCAGCTGGGGTATCGCGATTATGTTGCAGAATCTTCGCAGTTGTCTGGGTAACGCGTTGAAAAAAGGAATTAGTGTCAGAAATATATGCAGTATGAAAAAACGGATTTAAGAAAGGAACGCCTTTTCAGATTAGGTTACTGTGATTAATTTGCGTGATGATGTCCATGCTGATGGACATCATCTGTATGTTCATAAATATCATGAATCTTGTAATGGATTGGGAATTTTTCCGATTTCCAGCCTCTGTTTTAGAGGAGTTTCCCATGCTGTACCGATAAAATTTTAATTTTCTTAAAAGAGACCGATTTCCAGGGTACAGTATTTTCTGAAGCAAGAAGTGTCGTAATTGAGAATGATGCTGAATGCGGATTCGCCTGGTTTAGACTCAAACACTGGATTGTTCGTTACTCCGAATCAAGCAAAACCAAGTGCATGAATTATGAATTGCGAAGTTATGTTTTTGTTGATATTGCCATCTATTCAAAAGTGGTTTTTTGAAAAAAATTCGGTTGTATACTTGTATTCATTTTTTTATAATTGTGTTGAGGCTTATTCCTTATTCAGGTTATGTTAAATGAGGAATATCAATTGATTTCCAGCTCGTATTTCGACCTCTCGGGGATTCATTTGCGAGACTCACGTCGCGGTCTCTTCATCGGAAGGAATAGCATACCAGTCACCATGACAGTTCGTGTAGAAATTTGTGAAATCTGCCCTTGTTTTGTCCAGTGATACGTATATGATTTCAAAAGATGCTTCTTCTTCCCTGAGTTCCTGATGGCAACGTCGGAAATTATTTTTTTTACATTGATACCGTGACGCAGAAAGGTAACACAATGGTTCACCTGATAGAACTCCCGTAGGAATCGAGTGAAAGCCTTGCAGGGTGGACATGATGACGCCCCGAAATAGAGTGCGATGATACTTTTGTCCTCTAAAGCTTCTTCAACTGGTACATGATCTCCTTCTTTATTCATCAATAATTTCCCTTTCAATATGTCCATTGTACCCGATTGGCCTAGGTCACCCAGATTGACATCTTCGATGAACTCCGCGAAGAACTTGTAACAGTAAAGTGAGCGTAATGAGTAACGTAGGGACTGTAATTGGAGGAGAACTATTATTTTTTGGCCGTATCTGAGCTTAGAAGTTGAGCTGGTCAATACTTGTTGATCTCTTTTGTTATTATGACTTCGCTTCCGATTTTATTTTTGTGGCTGCGTCGGAAGCAAAGTTGATGTGTTTCAGAATTTCCGAGTTCAGATATGAACCAGGTTTGACCTCGTTTATTCGAATATCACCGTCTCAATGTTTTTTTTTTTTCAAGATTGTTTGACGCTTCCATCCGAAGCCAAGAACATTAAAAAATACTCTTTTTAATCTTTATTTTGCAGACACCGAGTAAGTCATCCTGGCTTGTGAGGAAAGCGCGTCATGCTGGGCCTAAAGAAGTGACACAAATGGTGTGTCCGATTTGTGGGAAGCTGATGAAATATTCTTCGGAACAGTCCATGCGGAAGCACATTGAGGTTGTTCACAAAAAGTTGCGGACGATGAAGTGTCAATTCTGTGACGAAACGTTCACGTACCACGAGCAGCTGTATGTTCATGAGGCTCGTATTCATAATCATCAGTGTAAGAAGTCTCGTTTGTTTCTTCGACTGCATGGTGTTTTATCGTTACTCACAATTAATCACGGTGCCGAGTCTCTCTTTTTGTGTTCGGATTTCGATGTGGATGACGAAAAACAGATGGAGATTTTCCCGAACTTTTCATTATTTTGTCCATTGTTTTCGAAAATGTGCAATTTTGCTACTGGGGAAGCTGATTTAGTGAGCGAACAAGAATTTTCTCGCGGAAAGAACGATTGGGAACGGAAACGAAGGGTTGAAGGATCAAGAAGAATTATCTCCCGAACGAGTGGAGCCACCATGACATTGTAGCCGAATTTCTGAGTTTCAAGCTTATATTATGTCAATAAAAGTTATGTGAACGCTATCATCTTTATTACCGAGTCCAGTTAATAAGAACTATATGCAGAAAGTTTCCTACACAAGTTTACTGATTCAACTTTCGATGCTGCCTTTTTCATAAATTTCCTAAATTCAGATTTTACTTTTTATTCTACATCGTGGCAAAAGTCTTCCAGCAATCCCAATTACTTCTAAAATTCTCTGCCGCCTGAATCTATGTGGGAATGTGATGAAGAATCACGAGGTCCGAAGCAACCCTTCTTCGAAGCAATGAATTTGAATTCAAAAGCTGTTAAACTGCTTCTTTTCTTGTCTCCCTATCGCAAACTGATGTGCTGTGTGTGTAATTCCCGTGCAATTTTGTATACTGTACTGTATATTTGCATGCCTTTCCAGTGGACAGGATCATCAAGACATGTCCATACTGCGGAAAGACAACGTTGACCCGCTGGGGAATGAAGCAACACCTTTTCTCCAAACATGGACAACTCCCGGATAAAGGAAAAGTGCACGAATGCGCAGATTGCGGGAAGAAATTCTTGGCGTTGCAGCATTTCAAGGATCACATGAACATGCATTTGGGTCTTCGTCCGTGGGCGTGTCCTTTGTGTGATGTTCGAATGGTTAAATTCGAAAACATTCGCCAACATGCCCATCGGGTCCACAACGTGCGTGTGAGAATTAAGCAGGAAGGTGGCGCGGAAGTTGTTATTGAGTCGAATGTCCAGCCCAAACTTGAGGGTTGATCCACGGGTTCATGGATTGAAATATTCTCTGTGATGATGTGGTTTTGTTACGTATTATATTTTTGTTTACTCATTTGCGACGGATCAAAGCGAACATGTGACGCGAAATAGTGATGGCTGAACTTCATTTTGTTCTGCACTGATGAGAAAAAAAATCACGTGCTTTTTCATGAAATCTTCCCTCGAAAAAACTTCGAATTGTTCGAGTCTTCTTGAAATAGGTGCCTTCCGGTCGATCATCCTCGTGAAATGCACAATGACCAGCGTTGTGATGTTTTTTGTTTCGTTCGAGTGCAACAGTGCATTACATTATTTGATGATGCATAAATCAGTAAAGTGCCACAAAAATGTTCTACACCGCATGGAAAATATATCAAGAAGAAGCACGCATCTTCAAGAATCTCGCGGATCCGAGACATGTTGAATGAAGCACTTCAATAATCTCAGTAAATTTCAACTGGTTCAAGTTTAAGTTATGAGCAGATGAGTGTCAATAGATGTACGGTCAGAATTTAATGAAACGGAGCGACCTTGAATTCATTCATACATTTTTATATCCGCCAATGCCCTTAATTCCGTTTCCGTGTTCGGCTTTTGTGGTTCAGCTAACGATGCAGGATGACTTGTATTCTGTTGATGGATCTCGTGACCCAGGCGTGATTCTGTATAACTATTGAATGGGCTCCAAAATGGACCAGTTTTTGTTTGTCAGACGCAGTTTTGAAATTCCACTCGCTTCACCTTCGGGTTACTTTTCAATGAGCAGGAGATTTACTAATACCTGTCCTCGGACTTTAATTAGGGTGTTGTATTTTAGTATCTTCGCTGATATGATGAGTTGCGTTTTCTTAATGAAAACATTTCGATTATGATATTCCTCGATCATTACAGCATTTCGCGAATACTCTGTACCGATGAATTTTGAAATTCTACGTTCTCTTTGGTGAACCACTGCAGTTCTCAAGTCTGAAACAGGTTGTTCTTCCGTGTAAATTTTTTCAAGTGATCTCCGAATTACCTCGGCAAATGGATTGAAGACGTTGAGATTGTGGAACGTTCATTTTGGTGCTTTTAAGCGACATTTCGTGCTTATACTATTGATTTCATCTGATTTTGAAGTTTTAGTCATGGAAATATGTGTTATATGTGGACAGCTGGGTGATTCGATTGTTCGCTGTGAGTCGTACTTCCTCCCGTGGTCGCGAAGTTCCGCACTAGAGAAGTTGAGACATTGGCGCGCAAAAAACTGTCTCGGAGAATGCGCAAGAATTTTCGACCCGTCATTGAGTAGATTTCCATGCTGTTCGTCGTGTTTGCAGCTGATTCTAGTGCTGAATGACCTGGAGGCGAAAACGGAGGAAAGTTTCAAAATTCTGAATGGATTAATATGCCGAGAGCAAGTGGAAATCACTGGAACTCGGAAGGTTGACGAAGAGGTATTTTCGTGACGGTCCCTGCAAATAACAGGAGTTTTAATGCATATTACATTTACAGGTTCATGAGGGAAGTCGGGATGGCTTTCCTTTGTCAAGAGGGACTGAAAACCATACCATCGAACAGGTAAATCATTCATACCTGTGCCTCATGGGCTTGCGATTTATTAAAGGTCCCGTTCATTTTCAGGGTCCGTCGGAAGAAAATTTGCTCGACGTGCCAACGATTCGGATTCGGAGAAAGGTTCGAGTTTTTTTTTAAGTCTGCCTTGAGACACATTTGAAAATACGAAGTTTACAGAATCTGATGTCGAAGGCGTTTCTCGATTTTACTTCGCAACTTCACATTTTCTCCTTTGATTTCCCCGCGGATTTTACTCTCCATGAGCGAATGTTTTTACACACTTCTGGTGTTAGTATCTGGAAGGGCCGAATCGATTTTCGTGACGTTGGAATCCGTTGAAGTTTGTTGGAACATCTGAAACTGAGCCAATTTGATTTCAGAGAGGAAGACCGAACAAGATATATAAGCAAGGAGCTGTGGCGGAATCCGACGAGAAGACGAACAAGAACAGGAAAGTTTGCCCTTTGTGTGGAAAGCTGATCAAAGGGTCGGAAGTTCATGTTCAAACTCACATCCAAGTTGTACACTACCGTGAGCGTAAGCTTTGCTGCAAGTTCTGCGACCAAAAGTTCCTGTACCACAAGTCTCTTTATGCTCATCAAGCCCGCGTTCATGATTATCAGCGTGAGTCTCAGTCATAACTTACTTTGTGAGATTATTAATTTTCGAGCTGAACATTTCAAGAATGAAATTTAAGATTGAATAATTCGTTTACCGACTAATTTGATTGTATCGTTTTTTTTTCATGGTGCAGCTGAAAAAGTTACCTTTCAATGCACCGAATGTGGGAAAGTCTTGGCGTCGAAATGGAGCTTCAGGTTACATCAGCTGAGTGTTCACAATGTGGTCCCGGATCGTCTGAAGGTTTACGATTGTTCGCATTGTCCTCGTCGTTTCCTGGATGTCACGAAGTACCGCGAACACGTTAATATGCACGAGGGGATCAGACCTCACGCTTGTCCTCATTGCGACGTTCGCATGGTCAACCGAAAAAACCTGAAGGAACACATCAAGCATTTGCATGGAGAAAGCGTCGGGCCGGTATTTTCCTAAATTTTCTGGTCCGTGACACCTGTTGGATGTGAGCGAAAGAGGTGCTTCTTGAAAAGGTCGCTTTGGATTGACCCGGAAAAGTACGTCTCTCAGGTAGAAGGGCTACCTTATTACGATCGGTTACACCAGTGCACGTGATCAAAGTTTAGAATTGTGAACTAATTATCTCGTTCACAGAGCTGATCATGTGGGTATTCTATCAACAGGTTCCGTTATGGACAAAGACGCTGATTTTTTGCACTGTGAAACTTGTGCCGTGTGCGGTGCGCAAATTGACGCGGCGGCAGCTGACTGTGACACATTCTGTCTCCCTTCGTCGGGAGTTAGCGTGACGAGCAAAATCCAGCAACTGAGGATTTGTCGGTGTCCGAAGAATTGTCGAGAGTTCCCACCGGATGGTAGCATGACGCTGCCAGTGTGTGATCGATGCTTAGACCTAGTGAAACGCATCGACGATTTAGAATCTGCTTTTGAAGAGCACGTTCAGCTTCTCTGGCAACGCATGACCTCTGCACCATTGAGCTCGTGTCAGGAACCAGAGAAGTTGTTTGAGTATGTGATCCACACTGCGGCTGTAGTTGCGGGTGTCGCGGAAGACTCGTCATCCAGTGCAGTCGCGAAGGTATCCAAATCCTCAAAGATCGAGAGAATGTGTGGTGCCTTCTCAGGTGATCAGCCTCAGTCTGATGACGTCGTCGCCTCTAAGGAAGAAGTGTTTTCCTTGTGCGAACCTGCGTCATACGTTATCGAACGCCCGTCTCAGATTGTTGCGCCGAAGTCCGAGAATGTTGATGACAAAACGTTGGGATCCGTTCTGAAAAAGAGAAAGAGGAAAAAAGCTGCTCCGACTTTGTGCCCGGAGTGTGGCGTAACTTTCAAAGCATCGAGCTCTTACATGCGATGGCACATGAACACCGTTCATAATAACGACAAGCCTCTGGAGTGCGGGTTCTGCGACGAGCGATTCAAAAACTACAAAAGTCGCCATCATCACTGGGCTTCGAAGCACGAGCTGGGTTAGGTCATTTGATTTAAATTTTGGTTACAAACAACTTATATGTCATTGCTAGAAAATATGTTGCGCACATTCGGTTTATTTAAATTTCAAACTATTTACAAAAAAATGTGACGGTTTAGATTCTGATTCAAGGTTCTTGATAATGGATGTCTGCGAAACGAGCATTCATTTAAAGAAGGGATTTCTTGGTAAATTTTTGAAGTTGAACATTTGATTCCTCTGAGAATCTATTGAAGACAGGATCCGAATCAATTTTAGCAGTGTAACCTGACCACTCAAAGTAAAAATTAGGGGAATCTGGAATTTGTGTTGTACACTTTTGTATTTCGATTGACTTGGTATTCAGAATGTTTTTTGCGAGGTCAATTTCGGCTGACAAAATACTAGGGAATTCATTATTTGCAGTTTATTTTCTTCTCGAAATGAATTCGGCTTAAGATTTGGCCATTATTTGGAAGCAGTTCTTGACATTTTGTTGAAGTTACAGGGCGTATATGATTCGCCAGCCCTTTTTTAAGGTAGTAGGGCTCAAAAATTGACGTGCGGCTCATTTTTTCGTACAAATTGTGATTCTTGTGAGAACCGGTGTACTGTACGGTAATTTGTACTCCTATTTCCGCAGAGGATCGAATCAAACGGCAGTGCAGTAGATGTGGACTAGTTGTAAGTTCTTCGTGGGCGTTGCAACAACATTTGTTGACGGCACATGGAGAAACGTCGACTGGCAAAGTGTACTCATGCAGTCAGTGTTCGAAGCAGTTCTTGTGTCGCTCAAGGTACCAGGACCACGTGAATTCACATGCGGGATACAAGCCTTTTGGGTGTCCGTTGTGCTCATTGCGCTGCGTCAAGTTTCAGAACCTTCGTACTCACGGGAAAAAGGTTCATCACACGGAATTCCGTAAAAACCGGGGTTCTAACAGTATTTTTATTGATGGTGTGGAACATTCCGCGTCTGTTGAAACATCCGAGTGATTGTATTCCCTGTGTCTGGAGGATTGTTTCGTTGATCACTTCGCAAAAAGTGTTTATTAAATTGAATATATTCCTAAGTTTACGTCCTTGACTGAAATTCAATTGTGTGAGCTAACTTTTCCTTTTATTTTCCAGACAAATTATGTGTTCTCCCTTGCCTGAGAAACCATTTTGGCTGAAGGGTGATGATCAAACATTACTGGAGAAATTCCGTCTTATCTTGTCGCGTGAGAAAGCGAACTATTCGCCGGTGTTCGATCATTTGTGTCAGACGCGCCCGTGTTTTGCGGTGTACTTCGGTACTGATGTTCGAGCCGCCGCTGAATTCGAAGTTGCCTACGAAAAATCGTCAGGTTCTCAAGGAGTCTTCATTATGGCTGGCATAAAAACGAGCGGCGATGTCTCAGTGGTACACGGCTTTGTGATTTGGAACCGCTTGGGCTTGTCCAGTATTCCTGTCAGGGACCTTCTCGTCAATGAAGGCCTCAGCACAGTTATCGAGGCTGCTACAGGCTCATGTGAGCTGGCCATGGGAGCAGAAATTACTTCCCGTGAAGCTGGAAGTGCTCTAGTGAACTGTGTTTTGGCTGCAGCATTCCCGCGTGCGGGGATAATGGTGGATATCCCCAAAATGCGAATTATTTCGTTTGTGCAAAAGGCGGAGCCTCCAGTAAACGAGAATGCGCACAAATCCATTGCCGTGATCGGGTGTGGCATTCTTGGACTTGAATTTATTCGTGAATTGTGTGAAACTCGTATTCCGGGGTTGACAAGAGTCACTGTGATTGACCCTGCGGGAATTAGCTCGTGGGATCGCCACCACTATTTCAAGTTTTCCACCGAAAAGTACAAGTGTGACGCCGCTGCGAACTTCGTTAGAAAAAGGATCCCTGAATTGCAAGTGGTGCCGATTCGCGCTGCGGTGCAGACCAACTGTGGAAACGATGTTACAAGTATTCTGAAGGATGCTGCCCTGTGGGTTTCCTGCTTGACCAGCTTGAATGCGGCGCGAGGCGTCGGGCAGTTGAGCTTGGACCTGAAGAAACCAGTGATTGACTTATCTGTCTGTGGCTCTTGTGAGCCCGGAGCGAAGAACAAGCTTGGATTTGGTCAGGTTCGGTGCTTCTTTCCGAACCTCACAGAATCGATGACGTGTCAGATTGAGTCATCGCTTAGCGATTATCCCCCTGCGTGCGTTGTCGAGTCTTTTCCGTTCGAGACTTCGCACTGTATCCATTGGACCATGGAATCCTTGGGGTCTCTTTTGACGGACCTGCAAGAGCGAAAGATATGTATGCCGGAAAACATGGAAGGTTTCTTGTCGCTGAGCTTGTCATTGTTTCATAGATGGTTCGACGCAAAAATCCGAGCTTTGTTGAGGTTGTACCCAGTGGATCAAATGGTTGACGATATCTCTCCATTCTGGTCCCCACCGAAGAAATGCCCGAAACCGTTGGATTTCGACGTTCTGAATCCAAATCATGTGAAGTTTGTGCGTTATGTGTCTATATTTCTGTCGAAGCAAATCAACGCAAAGGTTTTTGACGAAATCAACTCACTGACCGATGACCAGTTGTGTGATATTGTCGCGAAGCTTCCCTGTGCTGAGCTTGATATCGATAATGAGGTGATCGAAGATGACCCATCAGTACTCTACGGGCCTAGTGCCATTGTGCGGATGTTGGAAAAAGATAGTTTAATGACCCAGAGACTTGTCCTCGTGATTGCGCGATTGCGTTGCGAAGCTTATTCAATCGAAAGTGCGCCAACGTCTCAATTTCACCGCGAAATTTGGGAGATCATGTCCGGTCACGAGCTCTGTGACGTCGGCATGTGTTCCGTTGCTGCCGCGTGCGCCGTTACCCGCGTGAAGTCATTTTTGTCTTCCGAGGGTGAACTCAAGAATTATTTCTTTTCGAATGTGCAAAATCCGATGATCCAGACGTGGACTCCGAGTTTGCCGACGGTCCTGATCCACTCTGAGACACGTTCATTCACGGTCTGGGACCGCTTGATGATCAAAGGGAGGAAGGATATGTCCTTGGGAGAGCTTTGTGACGAAGTTAAGCGAATTTTGCAGCAGCGCACGGTTACCATGGTTGTGCAGGGTAGAAGGATGCTTTACATGAAGGATTTCACCAAAGAAGATATTTTGCTTGAAAAGGTGCAGGATATTATCTCCTGTTCGGTCGGATCGATCGAGTTGTGGTTTAATTTCGAACACGATGGCGACGACGTCGTTGGGCCTGCTGTGATGTATGAATGGGATTTCTCGTGATGAAGCAATTTGGTATGTACGCGGTGTTCGGCAAACGGTTCGTTGCAAGGCGCAAGGACATTGTATGAGTCCATTTTGAGGGACGCTGGGTTTTTGCGTGCAAAAACTAAATCCGTTCACCTCTGTTCGGACCAAGACCAGTATTTTTTTTAATTTCTCGGAATTCGTCGTGTGAAGTCCCTACACAGTCGCTCGTATTCTCCCACTTCCTGAGATTTCTGGAAATCGAAAACTTGTTAAAAATAAAGGTAGTCGGAGATTAACTGCAATAGGTTCTGATTTCACGAATGATTGGGGATTTCAGAGCATCAAGAACAGCGTAATTGATAATGATTTCTGAATAAGTGTTTTGAGTGTTTGAAATGACGCTTATTGCTGATGAATGTGTGCATTAGTGTATTTCTCTCCTGAGAATTTTTTCGTCTTTAATATCGATCGTGAATGCCATCTTCGTCGATGATGTTTTTGAAAATTTCCAAGTCCGAATCTCGATCACAAGATACAGTATACATTATATTTAGGATTTATCTGACGCTCAGTTGGCCGACTTGTTCGAGTTATAATTTTTTCTGGAGCATCCTCTGGTTTTGGTCTGCATACAAGTTCTCGGTATTCTAATTTACTTTCAATGATAAGGCGAAAAAGGTGCCGTGCTTAAGAGAACATGTCTATTCGAGAAGTCTTACTTTTTGGGGAAAATGAATAGCGGGAAAACAAATTTCCGTCGTATTGTTTTAAAAGATTTACTTCGGACAGTAACAAAAATCAAATCTATGCGAAGTAATTTTTTTCGACATTTTTCTTCGTCGAGGTATTTTTTTCTCGAAGAATACCGATAAGTCCGATAACTGATGGAATTTGCATTTCCCTATTGTGCCAGGAAATCGTGATTTAGCGGTCGGTATAATGATCTATTTTCTCTTCTGCTGATTATTTTTGTCTGGGAATGAATCTGAACTGCCACTCAGTTCACTACTTCCAGATACGAGTGCACTACTTCCAGAATTACATTTGTTCCATAAAATGTTTGGTAACATATCTACCGCTCGTGATTTCGAAAATTTGCGTGCGAATGATTTGTTGACCTTCATTTCTGCTGTGATGATTTGATTTTCCGACGTGCTCTTTGCTGAAGAATACTGATGATCTCAGTTTCTCTTTTTTATCGGTTATTGAAGCGCTTCGTGTTTTTTTTCTTCCTGTGAACTGTCCTGTTGAAAGATTTTCTGTATGTGATGGGAAAGAAAAATCGATTCATTTTGTTGAATATTGTTGAAGGGAGATCGTTGAAACTCACGATAACGGGTTTGAATCAAGATTTAAAAATTTTGTAGCAACTTAGCTTTCCTATTCGTAATTTTATTATTTCATGAAACTTTCCGTTAAATCTGCATTTTCAAGCTTCCTGTTTTTTCAGAAAGAACTTTTACTGACTTCACCCTGACCCGTCTTCATTCTCTATCTTTGCAGTTCCGACTTCAGGTAGTGAATCACGCGTCGTCGTAGTGGTCTTCTAAATATGAGTGTAGAGGAGCAGCTGGTTGCCCAGGGTGACGGGTCTCGGGTGACAGAGTTTCGGAAAACTCAGCTGGAGCGAGACGCGCAGAAAAATTGGGACAAATTTTATCTCCGAAATGAAACGAACTTCTTCAAAGATCGCCATTGGACCATCCGTGAATTCACAGAGCTAACCGGCGGGGTTCCTTCGGAACGTCGAGTACTTCTCGAAGTCGGCTGCGGTGTCGGCAACTTCATTTTTCCCCTCGTGGAAAGTGAAAAGCAATGGTTTGTGCATGCTTGTGATTTCTCATCGCGTGCTGTGAACTTCGTGCAAACTGACCCGCGGTTCAACAGTGAGAAAATGTCGTGCTTTGTCGCTGACGTGACTCGAGACGATCTCTTCGAGCGTGTTCGCGAGCATGTTGATGTGGTGACGATGATCTTCATGTTATCCGCCGTGCATCCTCTCAATTTTGTGACCGTGTTTCGAAATGCTCTGAATGTTTTGAAGCCCGGAGGTTTTCTTCTGTTCCGTGACTACGGATTGCATGACATGGCGCAAATAAGATTTAAAGCTGCTAACAAATTGGGAGATAATTTTTACGTGCGGCAGGATGGAACTCGGTCTTACTACTTTACACACGAGCAATTGCGACAGTTGGGAAATGAGGCGGGGTTTGAGGTTCTGGAATCTGAGTACGTTTATCGAATGACGGTGAATAAGAAGGAAGGGATTGAGGCAAAGCGAACGTTCGTGCAAGCAAAACTGCGGAAGCCTGATTAGTGAGTGATCACTGATCAGTGATGCAGTTGTATTTTCAAATGGCTGTGTATGATGAGGATAAGGTCACACTTTCTTATTCTTTCCGAATATTTAAAATCGTGTTGTTCCTTGAATGCTCTGGTAATAGAAATACGTTTCTTTTTCAGATATTTTGCTCGCGTCAAGATTTGGTGATTGTGGTGATTCATTATTGCGGTTCGTGACAAGATGTTTACGAAATTCAAGAATGCCGTGAGCACTATGGTGACGTCGAGTTGGGATCAAGTTGCAATCGGTCGAGAAGCCGATTCGTTCGATCCAAGTGTTTCTCAAAATTCCAGTGGTTCCTCGGGGAAGTCGGGCCTTGACAGGAAGTCCAAGTTTCCCTACAGTCGCCCGGAATTTCTTCAGCTTGGCTCTGAAGACGAGGTTCAGGTAGCTGGGGATCACCAGATTAGACCAATCATCGTACCACGAGACATCACAAAATTGCCGTGGAACTCCGGCTATGCCGAGTGAGTGCTACGGCAAACTTTTTCCACGTCCTTTGTTAATATTGGATCTTCGAAGGAATATTTTCTCTCTCTCCCCGGTTCAGATTTGTCGTTTTGTGTTGGAGAATATCTTCAGAAATTGTTTCCTGCTTCGTAGAAAAATATCTGATGCAAAAAATGTCATTTACTGGCGTAAAAGTTCGTTCCGGAGAAAATGACGTTGTTAATGTATTAAACCAACAAATTAAAGGATTTATCATCGAGAGTCGGTTCGTCAAAAGAAACATGAGGTGCCGCATGCTTCTCAAGTTTTAAATGCGTTCTTAGTTAGATCCTCTTATCCCCTGGAGGATCCACTGTGTGAATTACAGCGCGTAAGCGTGAAAAATTGAACATTGCACTTTAAAGCTTGTGAAAGAAATAAGTGATCAGCGCACTGTTCGCAATTTTATGAGGAACTTCCCAACGTCTATTTCTGTGATGTGCGAGGGTTGTCTGGGCTCCGCGCGGAATAACTCAAAATAATTAGCCAAGGATATATTGATATTGGCGGCGAATACGTGGGAAAAGTTCAAGGATCAAAAGTACATGAGAAAAATAGAAGAAAAAAATCCTCGGCTACTTATTTCGAGTGATCCCGCGCGGAACCCAGACAACCCTCGTATTACGTCTGTTTTGGAATTGTATTTTCAAGTGGCTGTACTGTGGAATTGTTTTCTTTCCAGAGATAAATGTGATGCCGTACAACCTATAGTAAGCCAACCGCTCCGTTCAAAGTTTAAATTTAAAACATCAGAATTTTTCAAATAAAGTAATAATAGGTTTTCTCTGATCTAAATCGCTACGTTTCCCAGTCCCCATTATGATTTTCATCTGCTTGACCACAATTTTTTCCATACCGCAGAGCAGTGAATGCTGGTAAATCTGCCAAAAATGAAGACCAGGCCACTATTTACGTGGGCCATCTTCACAGAGACAATGGACGCATTGTCAGACAAATCGATGAATGGGCAGGAACTCCGAAGGATGAACTGCAAGAAAACATGTTCATTCAGTCACTGCCATACTATTATTTGTCCGTGTTTGACGGTCACGCCGGTTCCGGTGCTGCAGTGGTCGCCTCGCGTCAGTTACATCATATTCTCCACGTGAGTAAGAAATGTTCGAAGAGTTCCAACTGTTTTGGAAATGTCGGCATTTTTGTTGTGTAGAAAACTATGATGAAAAATGTGCTGGATTGTATTTAATGTTTTTTTTTTGAGAATGAGCTGGGAAGACGTGAAAATAATCCTTGGAAACAGTCGGAATGCGAAAAACCCGTAAGCATCATCACTAAAAATTCCTGGTGCCAAATGAACCCCCAAGAATGAAGGTACATTTTTCGCGTGGCTTGCATATTTCTTTTGATTTCGTCAGGATTTATTGGAAATTCCGTTGGCATTTTTAAATGTTTTGAAAATGTAGCCCTTGCCTCCACGCTTTACAGTAATCGATTTTGGTCTCCAACAGGCAAAATTGGTGGACGTGATTGACCACCTTCTTCCTCCGCTTATCAAAGATTCGGATCTTCGACAAGAATTACACGGAGTCACTAGTAAGAATTCCAAGCGTGACGGTGGCATGGCATTCTGGCTGTGTCACGAAAAAGAGGTTGATCGGGACAAATTAGTAATCGGTGCTCTCGAATCGGCATTTTGGGACATGGACCAGATGATTGCCGAAGAGAGGATGAAATACCGAATAAACGGCGGTTGTACTGCATTGGTGGCGTTGTTCATCTTGGGGAAGCTTTACATTTCGAATGCGGGTGACAGTCGTGGCATCATTGTGAGAAGTAGCGGGAAAGCGGTGCCAATGTCGCACGATTTCACACCGGAGACAGAGAGGAATCGTGTTCAAAAAGTGTGTATCTGCCGTAATCGGATACGAATGTTCTTTCAAAATCATGCTAAATTTCTCGGGATGATGGTTATTTTTTCTTCTTTCAGTTGGCAATGGCCAATCCAGAGCTGCTCGGTGGGGAATACACGCATCTGGATTTCCATCGCCGGCCATTCCGTAGCGACATTGGACAACGAATCCTTTATCGTGACGCACACATGACCGGTTATGCGTACAAAACTGTCACACCGGATGATCTCAAATTTCCTGTGGTGTATGGTGAAGGGAAGCGATCTCGGGTTCTGGCCACAATTGGCGTCACACGTGGGTTCGGCGACCATGATTTGAAAGCTCAAAACTCTAGGCTTCACGTGAAACCATTTCTTACCCCTGAGCCACAAGTTCTTATCTTTGATGTTGCTGGAGAGGCTGTTGATGAAAATGATGTATTGGTGCTTGGAACCGACGGGCTGTGGGATGTGACACCAAATGAAAAGGCGGCAGAAATTGTGACGAAGAATTTGGTTCATTTCCCCATTGATGACCAGTCAAGGTTCCGGTACAGGTGAGACATTTTTCGTGTTCGAGAAAGCTGGTAAAGCTTCACTTTTATTTTCTGAATTGCTTTGTTTCCTTATCTTTACTAATCTGGCCAAAAACAACCGAGTTTAACTCAGGCTAACCAAAACCTAACTTAATATAAACTAATTTAATTCACTCCAATCTTACAAAACTGATGTCCTCCGCGAGTTTTTCCTGTCGCTGAACAGAAAACAAAATGTAGGTGACTCGGTGCTTATGTACGCAAGTACATATAATGGCAAAAAATCATTGTTCGGTATTTCGGACGTTTTTATTGTTGATAGAATCACATCTTCATATTCAAGAATCGATGCTTTCAGCAATAACTTGAAACCAAAACAGTGAGGTTTTTCAGGAATCTTGAAGATAATTATTCTTGGTTAAACATTTGATTTTGTGCGCATAGATTCGCCGTGAAAAGTTTGAAATCTATATTTGTCAAGCTTACGTCCGTGTCAAGGTCGGGCTATACTTTACTTCGTGAATTTCGATAACAGCGAATGCCTGTTCAAACGTAAACTACTGTTTATCAGGAGCTGGGAAATTTAGCTCCGTTTAAAGCTAGCATCCACATTGAAGTCGAATTGAAATGCTGAGTACCTATCCTTCGAAATGGGTCGTTGCAAAACGAGTAGAAAAATGTTTTTCGTGGTTTTGGCAGATATACGTCAGCTGCTCAAGATCTGGTCATGCATTCCCGTGGGAAAGCCGAAACGAAAAGCTGGAGACGGTCTGATGGTTCAGCTGCAACGATTGATGATATCACAGCGTTTGTGATTCCAATGTCAGTATACAAATCAGAGTATCTCCAGTGGCAGCGAGATGATGAAGCTCTCCGCGAATTTTTCACTGCCTGGAAGGATGACGTTGTTAAGAGGGTCACAGCGAAGCGATCCTCTGGTGAACAGGGGCAAAGGTTACCGGGCAAGACTGCCGAACCTAAAGAAAGTTTTTCCGCAAGGAGAATGGCTGAAACTTCCAATTCTCACCAATGCTCGACAAGTGTTGAAACACTTACGAATGGCGTCAGTCACGAGGAGGAAGCCAACGGTATTCAAGGCTTTGATGAAGGAGAAAATCGAGAGACGTCAAACCTTCCGTGAATGTAATTACGCAGCAGTTGAGAAACTTCGAGAAAATCAATTATTGTTCAGGTGATTCCAAGTCTGCTGCGAAGAAATGTCGACCTTTTTTTATTTCAGTGTGATGATTTATGCTTTTTTATTCTTCTTCGATTCGTTTTCGAGTGTTGTAGCTTCTTGAGCTGTACTTGCTTCCTTTCATCTGTTGCCATTGAACAACTACTCTAGTAAATGTCGTCTGAAATTTTACTTGAAATCATGTAATTTTTTAATGGAGCTTTCATACTGCAGCAGTTAAATGAGAGGTTTTATAGAGAGAGTCTCCTGAAGCTGAAAATGCAGTGTATCCTCGATTATTTTGGTGAAATGCCGAATGCCATCTTCGAGAAGATACACTGTATTACAAGTATTTTGATGTTTTGAAGAGTTATTCTACAACCACGTGACGAAAATTCATCAAATTCTCGTTGAATATTGAGAAGCTATGCATTCTCCAGACGCCCTCAAATTACCGAAAGATCACGTGGGTGTACTGCGTAATTATTTGCGATTTTAATGAGTTCACGTGATGAATCGAGTAAATCCAGGTGATGACTGCGTTCTCATTCAAAATTGTGGGCACTGGTCATTAATGTAATAATTATTTAGGTTATTTTGTGTTTGGGTAATTGATGCAGTGTGCATTGTTCAAAAGCAACTGTTAATCTAACCTCAGAGCTTATTTCAACGGCTTTCTGTGGGATTGAATTACAGATAAAAAACAAAACAACTATATAGTGTTATCTTACATCAGTTTGTTCAGCGGCATGCCAGTTTTATTTCATTGCGCTACTTCTCAGCTTCATTCCTGCAACTAGCTTACGTAATGCTTTTGTGTCTGAAATCGCTGTGATTTTTTTAGTGGACGTCGTCAGAGAAAATAGGATTTTTTTTGCGAAGTGCTTGGACTTACCTTTTCTTTTGGGGGATGTGTAAGGAACCTTACTCTTAGTGTGGAATACGTGCGTCGAGACGACTATACTACGTGGACTCTCGCAAACTTGGTGTCAGTGAGTTGTTTGTTGATATTATTTTGCTGAAAGATTCGGAGCGGCTTATCGTTTTTTTCCCCCTGAAGCCGAGGAAAAGAAAATCATTCCGACGAAATATTATTTATTTTTTTTCGCGTGAGCGCAATGGAAGATGTCCTTTTTCAAAAAAATAGAACGGTCTTAAATCATTGAATGTATCCTGGGTTTTTGGGCTTGATGACTTGAATCCTCTCAACGAGTTTGGAAATTATTCAAACTTAGGCCATGAATTTTTTCGCGAAACCGAAGTCTGCCACTGAGCAAATGCGCGATTCCGATCGCGCGTTGAAGAAAGTGGACCGAGATTTGGAAAGAGACCGGAGGAAGCTGGAAACCGACGAGAAGAAAATCGAAGCCGAAATACGCCGTCTTGCGAAAATCCCTGGCAACGGAGAAACCGTGAAGATTTTAGCCAAGCAGTTGGTGCAGATGAGGAAGCAGAAAACTAGAAGTGTCGTTGCGAGTTCGAAAGTTGGTTACGTCTGTTCAATGACCCGTTTAGACTTTTTAGTGATTTGGGCAATTCTTCATCGATTTTTTCCTTGAAATATTTCAGGTGAAATCTATCGGAGCCCAGCAGCACGTAATTCACGCCAATACCAAACTTGCTTCCGCCATGGGCTCAGCTGCTGCAACCATGACGCATATGAATAAAGCTATGAAGGTGGATCAAGTTGCAAATACCTTGAAGCAGTTCGAGCAGGAATCTATGAAAATGGGAATGACGGAAGAAATGAGTGATTATCTTATATTATGACTGTTCTCTTATTTCGTCCTCGTGTCAAGTGTATTTTCTTGGTTTTCACAGTCAATGATACACTTGATGACATGTTGAATGAGTCCGGAGATGAAGAAGAAGGAGATGCGATCGTCGCCCAAGTTCTTGACGAAATTGGCATTGAAATTTCTGGAAAGGTACCTACTACCGCCCTTCTAATTTTTCGGGGAGCATTGATTCTGAAGGAAATTTTTTCAATAACATGCTATCTTCTGAATGTTACGCCTTGCCTTCTGGGATTATGGTCAGGTGTTGCTTAAGTTATCAACAACTCGACTGGAAATAATACTACTAAATTTTAGCTATCTTTACCTGATTCAACTTTACGGAACTTGAAGAGTTGAAAATTACTGTAATATGCGAGCCAAACGAGTGATCTCGTTTTGTATAGGGAACTTGCAAAGGTTTAGGTCTTAGAGTGTTTACATTTTGAAGATCCTAAGCAAATTACGGTGTAAAAACTAAAGCATTGGTGTTCTGTTTTCAGCTTGCGAAGGCCCCATCTGCAGCCTCGACTCTCCCGTCTACTGGTAGAGAGAAAGCAAAAGAAGACGAAGACATCGAAAACATGCTTCTGCGTCTTAGGAGCACTTAATTTCAATTTCATGCCCAGCTGTTCCCTTGAAGCTCTTCAATTATCGGAAGGTGCCGAGATTCCGCGCGTGTGTGTGTGCGTGTTTATTTGGTGCTTAACTGTCAATCTTAGCAGTCAACTCCTATGATCGCCGTGACCGTAAATATTATGCAACCTGAAATGAGGATCGATGCGTTTCCTGGTTATATTTTTCGAGTGTGTCTTTTATCGCTTGTTCGAAAGATGTGATTCATTTTTTAAATCTAAGCGGTGAGGGAAACGTGAAGCTATATTTAGTTGCTCGTGTCTTGTTATCATTTTGAAATTCTGCTATCCCCTCTTTTCTGTGAAGTATTGGCTTTTTGCAGAGAATTCTCGTATTTAGCGTGACGACGAACAAGTTTGTGCGCCATTTTTCAAAGAAGTGTATTCGAGGAATGGCTAACGCTGTAGTTTTTGCTCATGTCTCTTGTCAGCTATAGTTAGGCGACTGTTCTGGTGCAGACTGTATCCGAAAACAGGTGATCATTTTTTTATTTACTGAAGATAATCTTTCCTATTCAGAATGCGTTGAGATTCAATTCATTTTCGTACTGGTCGAATCCTTCAGAATGAGCGTAAAAGGAGAAATGCAGTGACTTATTTCGTGCTTCTTCCTGCAGATTGACAATCATGAAAACAGCGGAAGACGCGAGCACGTCAGAGTCTTCCTTTCCCGTTTGCGTTGTGTGCTGCAATGATGTCGGGGTTGCAGACTGCGTGTCTCACTTGCTTCCGTGTTCTGGTGAACGAGCTGTTCGCAAACTCACCGCGTGGCAATCGCAGTACAGCAAAAACGTCGCCTCGTCGTGTACTGTGATGAAGAAACTTGAAGAAAGTGATGTGATGTTGGTGTGTGACATGTGTTTGTCAGTTATGATGGAAATCGATTCTTTGGAGAGTCGGCTGTATCAAAACTTGGAGAAATTATGGAAGAGACGCGTCGATGTTCGGAAGGATTGCGATAATAGAGAGGAAGGAAGAAATGAAAACCTGAAGCCAGAAGTGAGACTTCCAGAATGTGATGGGAATCACAGAAAGCTAAGAAGACCTTCGCGGAATCCGAAGAGTACCTCAGATGGAAAATCGTTCGACAAGTCTTGCCTCAAGCAGGTCCGTTATTTGACTGGATTCTCTTTGTTACCATTAATGGTCAATATCACAATTGAGAATAAGGTTTTCAAAGGCGCTCGTGTTCATTAATATATTATGTCTTCCGTTAGGAATTGAACCATAGTGATGAAGCATTTTCAGAGGGCGATCAGTGCCGATCGAGATCGTCAAAATTGAGTTTTAAAGTGAGTATTGATGAAGACGTTATTCCCAACCGACCGAAGTAAAAATATCTTTCTCGTTGTTTTTCACAACTGCACTTCCGTTTGATTATTTCAACATGATATTGGATAATAAATCTCCAGGTCCAGATCGAAGAAGCGGGTGCTGTTCAAGATGATTTTCATTTGAAGTTCTTGAAAGATAACGAGGTGAGTTGAGAAATTTGAAATTAGGCCTGATAAAGCTGAGATCTATTACAGTTTTTAAACTTGCGAAAAGGGATGTGAAAGTTGAAAACCTGTTTTTCCTCTTGCCGAATCAACAATTTCCTTTTATTTTTTCAGCCTGAAACTGTTGACAAAACCGAGGCTTCCAAAATTCATGAATGCAAAAAATGCAAACAAGAATTCAGAGTACTGAGTGCTTATAAGCGCCATATGAGAGAGCACGGAGCCAAGTTGTGTCCCATCTGTGGTGTTCTCATTAAAGGAGTCGGAGCTGCTCAAGTGAAGAAGCATGTTGAATTCGTGCACATGAAGATGGCGAAACTCGAGTGCCAGATCTGTCATGAGAAATTTCGGTACAGCATGACTTTGTACAGCCATCAAGCGAAAGTTCATAACTATCGACGTGAGTATATCTTCGAGAAATTCAACTGCCATTCTTCATTTTTCGGTCCGCGATGACGGATAGTTCCCTCATTATTCGATGCAGAATGAAAATAACAGCCAATCTGTCAAACGATAAAGGTAGCCTTCCGAAGTTCCCGAGATTGTCTCACATCAAATATGTGAAATTAAAAACAAATCGATCATTAAATTTCCTTAAAAGAATGTACAGTATTGGGTTTGCATTAATTGCATTGAAGCAGAAATACTTTTCTAAGGTTCGTACTTTATTTTCAGCTTTTGCTACTCCATCCTCTGAATTGTCTTAAAATGCTGTTGAATTCTTTCAACTGCTGCCGTATTGAAAAAGTGCATTGCTGTTCCCCATAATTGTTCAAATTGAAAGCTTTTCTCTCGCTGTTTCTATTTCGTGCAGTAATATGGTCTGGTATGAATCCGTCAACATTTCAGTTAATCGATTTTACATTATTTTAGCGGAAAGAGTCATGTGTCAGTGCCCGCAATGTGGCAAATGGATCAAAACCCGACGAGCTCTTAGGTTGCACATGGGCGATCGTCACGGCGTATTCGAACCTTCCACCGCCATTTTCGAATGCACTTATTGCGGCAAGAAAATCATGGACAAGACGCGCTACGCACGTCACATTTCCATGCATGAAGGCATCAAGCCGTTTGCCTGCAATCGATGCGACCTGAGGTCAGTTGATTTCTCCAACATCCGGTATCATAGCCGGCGTGTCCACGGCAAGGATATCCGGCGAGTCTGGAAAGATGGCATTTTAACGACAGAAATAGAAGACTTGGAGGAGAAGGAGGAAGTCTCGAAAGACACTGATTTGCGAACTGAAGATGCGCCTAGCAGCTCAGACAATGCCAGCATGTACAACCCCGAATTACCCGAAGACGTCGGTCCTTCATTACCGTAGTTCGTTGATCAAAGAATTCGTCTGAATCGAAAATGCTTGTCCGACTTTCCAGTGTACACGCGTAAGCGTATGATGTTTTTGTATTTTTGTTACAATCTTTTAAATTTTGGAAATGAGCGAAGAAATAGTATTCCCGTGGAATCATTTATATTCAGTTGAACTGATGACGCATCTTTTTGAAAAAGTTAGCCTCACGAGAGCTTCGAAGGCTGTTCCACGAAACGCACGAGTGGTTCTAGAAAGCAATGTGCATATTCAAGTTTTATTTTTTGATCATTGATGCAATCCGTTAATGTTTTCTTCTGAATTTTCTTTCATCAACAGGTGTGGTTCGTAGTGTGAAATGTGATGCGCGTTTCCCATGAAGTTTTTCTTCGCTTGCAAGGCTCTTGACGAAAAAAGGCAACAATGAAGGCATGTGTCGTATGCCTTCGGAGGGATCGCGAGATCGTTGCCGATGGACGTGAATTTATAATTCCAGATGCTGCTTCAACAGTGTTTGAGCAATTCAAGATTTGGACGGAAACTAGAGAACATCCCCAGATACGATCCTTATTACTTAGCGAACAGTTTGAAGTGTGTCAGTCATGTCTGGATTTGATCTTGGAAACCCGGAAGTTCGAGGCTTCTCTGGAAAAGTGCTTCTCCACTCTTTGGACTTTGTTCAGTGAATTTTCTGTTCCAGTTCCTTTGGTCACCTTGAATTACAAAGATAGCGATGATGCGTTGAAAGAAGAAAACCTGGATTCATGCGAGATTTCTAGTGAAGATTCGTCATTACCTCAAAAAGACGAGATACTTCGGGTGAGATTTTTAGTGTCTCTTCGAAAATGATTGTGTAAAAACCGATTTTCAATTGCAAAGAAACGCAAGTCGAATCCTCTTGCGAAGCCTACGAGCTGCAAGTACTGTGGAGAAGTGATGCCTTCGGTATCCCGTCTCCAAATTCACGTTCAAATCCATCGGAGGATGCATTGCACGGAATGTGGGAAAGAATTCAGAGGACGTTTCCGTGAAAAGGCTCTAGCTGCCCACATTGCCGTCGATCATCTTGGAGTTCATCCTCACTCATGTGCGCAATGTGACGCGAGGTTCTCATCCACAGCTGGTCTCAAATATCACATGGAAAGATTGCATTCTACAGAAGAAAACAAAACGAAGCACCCCTGTGACAAATGTGATAAAGTGTTTGATACGAAACTGAAACTGAATGCTCACAAGCAGACGCATTGCACGGAAATTTGTCCCATTTGTGGGAAAACTCTGAAGGGAATGGGATATTCTACCATCAAGAAGCACATCGAATCTACACACGAGCAAAAAAAGAAATACGGCTGCGAATTTTGTGAAGAGAAGTTCGTGAGAACGCAGCAATTGTACAAGCATCAAGCCGATGTTCACTCCTTCAAAAGTAAGGAGAGAACTGACGTCGTTTTCCAGCTAGTACGACAGGCACTTTTTTAACGATTTTTATTTCTGAAAATTGGAGTCTAAGTAATGGTACTTCCTTCGATTCGCCCGATCAATGCTAGTCTATAGAATGCTTATAAGTATGTTCAACTTGCTGAAAGCCTCTCAACCCGTGATCTTTAGTTCGAAGGATGTTCCGAACGAAATGCAGTAGCTTCTCAGTTTATGGGCTTGATCTGTTCCAGGGGTAACCGTTATCCGATAAGTCCTTGAATTAACAGCTGATTGATTACAGAACAACGCAATTTCCCTCACTTGAGTAATGTAAAGCTTTGTGGAACGATTAATCGTTGCTGCAGATCTGGAAATGTCCCTTTGAAGCGGGCAAAGGGAGTTTCACTCCTAAAAAAATTGAACCAAGAATTCAGTTGTTGCTTTTGTTGCGATTCATTTTCTAGAGAAAATGTATGTTCTGAAATTGTACGAGTCTTCGTTCATCCTGAGTACAAGTTTTTCTCAAATCGTTGAGCAATTGACTAATGGGATTGTATTAGCCAATGAATTTTTCCCCTTAGTTGGAGTTGTTTTTTGATACCCTGCGTTATTAAATCTTCTGCATTTTATATCCGCATGAGTGATGATGAATGTCGTCTTCGTTTCAGAATCCCGGTTCCAGTTCCCATGTTCGGTATGCGGAAAAATTTACAGTACACGAACGAGGCTTAATCAGCATCAATTCATCTCCCATGACATTCAAGCGGAAGGTGTAAAAGTGGCGACTTGCGACCGATGTGGCAAAAAATTCTCTGACGAGCACCGTTTGCGAGAACACAAACTCAGTCACGATGGAATCAAGCCGCACGCGTGTCCGCAATGCGATCACAGAACAGTTTCCTTCATCAATTTGAAAACGCACTTGAAATGGAGGCATAAGCGGAACGTGAAGCGTGTGTTCCGTGACGATGCTGGAGACGGAATCAATTATGACATCGTGGATCTTGATCCTGGCATCGACGCTCGAGAGAACCGATAGCATGAAGGAATTTGTTTTGTTTTATTTCTCCGTCAGTGTTCTGTGATTTTATCAAGTTGAAAATGTTTCTAAGGATTTTGAAAGTGACTGGTATGGTCATCAACTTCGTCCCTACTCATTTTTCTTCGTTCGATTCTCAACTGGTGAGTCATTGCCCCGCTTCTGTTCACAGAAAATCGCAGTTTTGAAGAGTGAGGAGTGTAACTGAAGTATTCTCTGCGATTTTCTGTAAAAAGGTGAGAGTTGATAATGTTTCATAATTATTTCTGGTAGTTAAAAATTCAAGCCTCTGCGAATCTTGAAATGTCTTCTTCAATAGGCTTTTATTTTCGCAGATACTGAATTTTATTTCACAAATATTATTCATTTTTCTCAATTGAATTGATGCAGTTGGTTTTGAATAGTTGGCAACATTTTACAGGTGAGAAATGGCGGATCCTTTGGAACCTCCGCCGGATGAGCCGGGTTTTGGCTTGGAAGAAATCGGCATTCCAGGAAGGAAATACCTGGCTGAAAGTCTTACAAATTGTTCAGATCCCATGAAAGCGATTGAAGAATTCCAGGTGAGAATCAACTCATTGCCGAAAAATTTTCGAATGGGTCGGTCCGACTCCGTACATTCAACTTTGCCTTTGCTGGATTCCGCACTGTATACATACCAAATATATTTGACGCAAGTTTGCGTCCAAAAAACTTGCTTTGTCTCTTCTGTTGATAAATCCTTACCAAATACCCTAATCAGTGCCTGTTGTTCCCCGTTCCGATGACTCGACCTTGTCCGAGTATCACACTTTTTTTACGCTTCTGAGCATTGGATTCTCTTGTACAGTACGTCTATTTTTATCTTTATTGAAGAATCACAAAGTGTGTCCATCTAAAATGAGTCGTGCTCATTTTTCTCTTTCGAAAATCAAGCCGGTAGGTTTGGAACATGTTTTTTACATTGAACGGAAAAATTTTGAACCGAGTTTCAAAATTTATAGCGTGCGAATAAAAACGGCGAATGCTTGAGTTGAATGCAAGGATTGTGCTTCGAAATCGTACAGAACTCAAATCCCTTATCTGTCATGTGAACTTCGCAAATTATTCACCGTTTAAAATATAAATATTTGTTATTTACAATCCACTTTATCTTCAAGGATTCGACTAGGTCATTCCTATGTCAAGAAGAATGAGTCTTCGAATTTTTACTTGATTCTTCAATACTTAACTGATATGCATGAGAAATATTTTCCATCAATTAGCACTTTTTCCGTGTGTTGAACTGAACCTAGCCGACATTCCTTTTACTTCTGTTTGATCAATTCTGAATAACGTTTCAATCGGTTGATCTGATGAATGAATAGTTTAATTTGTATATCTCAGCATTGAAAATGTATATTATTTATATTGAGGATTTTTTATTCGAGTAGTCTATGTACATTGAGTTTTACCAAGCTTTGTTTTTTTTAATGATTGTTACTTCTCAAGAAACTGCGATCGATTCTCGAAACTAAGGCTCAGGGTTAAATAATCTTTGGTCAGTGTTTCAAGGCTCCCGTGCCTAAATCCGCCGCAATTTTTTGCGGCGTTTGCTTGGTCCCATATACTGTATTTGTCGGGGAATTCCTCGAATTTTATCATATTGTACGTGTTTGCCTGTATGTAACAAACGAAGTGTAATCTCGTTCGCCCTCTCGGACTGAACAGTACAGCATTTGTCGAAAGCATGGCTTGAAGCAGTCCACGTGGAATACTACAAGGACTGTTGTTTTTCCCTTCCCGAGGCCCGGACACGTGCCCAACAACGGTGGCGAGCGCTTGGTCGAGCCCTGAGGAATCGGGTTCCGGTTTCGGATTCGGACGATGCATCGATTCGGCGGATTGGGAGCCTTTCGTTATGGGAAGTGCGGGAGTCAGATCCTGACTGGAAGCTGTACACGTGTCAAATGGCCGAAAAAGAACTTGGGTTTCTTCCCCGGGTATCCGTGAAATACGTCGTGGTGAAATGTCGAGACCAGTATTTGAAAAATATCACGGGCTTCAACAACACCGGGAACGTTTGCGTCTGGCCTTCGGAAGAAGCCTTAGCATTTTATTGTTTGAGAAACCCGGACCATTTCGCTGGAAAATCTGTCATTGAGCTCGGTGGTGGAATGACGTGTTTCGCGGGCCTTGTGGTGAAAAAGTTTTGCACGCCGTCGCGAATTGTCTTGAGCGATGGGAACGAAGACTCAGTTGAGAATCTCAGGGAGATTCTTGTATATTCAGGCAATTCTGAGGTGAACGCTGAGAGCGTGACTGTCCGATGGGATCTCGTCGAAACTTGGTCACACTTGGAAGCTTCTTTCGATGTTTGTCTGTGTTCCGACTGCATTTTTTTCGACGAGGGACGAGAGCAGTTGGTCAACTGCATCTTCAAGATTCTCAAAGAAAACGGAAGTGGGTTAATTGTTGCCCCTCGACGAGGAACAACGTTGAATGAATTTTTGAGAGTCTCTAGAAAAGTGTTCAAATCCGTTGATGTGTTCGAGGATTACGATCCTGTGATCTCAGAAAAAATATCTGTTTTGAGAGGAAATCCGAATTTCAATCCCGATTTGCATAATCCCATGTTGATCGTTTTGCGGAAGTAAAAGTACGATTCATGTCATCTCCATTTGTTTCATTTTCATCCTGGCATCTTGAAAAAAAATTTGCATTGGTCTGAATGAGTTATTTTTTTGGAGATCCTGTATTTTATTTAGTTTATTGACTTCAATTTCAGTTGGAAAACGGCATATTGGTTCCTTCCCTGCGACCAATGCTTCCGTTGTTGGATCTTCATGGAGTCAAGCGATTGGAGTTCCACGTGTCCGTAATGGAGGTTGGTTTGCAGGTTCTATTGAAATTTTTTGTTTGTTTGCGAAATTAACTTTTCGATATTTTTAGGCGCTGAGAGAGAAGCTGGTGGAGCGACTGAATTCACTTGGGCAGTTGGAAGGCCCTGACAGAGACGCCAAAATCATGGATTTGATGAAAAAAAGCTTCCCTGTCGTGAAAATCAAGCAGTTGCGTCCGGTTGTGATGGCCATCCTAAAATATGTCCCCAACATTGATCCTTTCTATTTAAATGTGCTGGTGAGTTGGTTCATCATGCGCGTTTTGATTCGGAGGAAGGGTTCCTGTTTCTTCATGGTTGAACAATTGAGTGCATCCCGAAACTTCGCGTTATTTCAAGAGCAAAATAACAGTTTTTTCAATCCATAGTTTCCGATGGCTGGAAGTCGGAAGTACAGTACATCAGTTTGATTTGGGTTTGGTTTTGTTGAAGCATTACCTTCCATAAATGTGATGCCTTGATGTCACAAAGAAAACCATATTAATCACGAATACTAAACATATTTGATGATGTTATGTGCCTGACATCGTTTCGTACTAGACGTTTTCGATTAATTTTATGCAGTTTGTTGGTGGATTTGTAATTCTAGCGATTCTCACTGAGTCGCGCTGCTTCTTTGAAAGCAATGCAATTTTCATTTAGGTTTCCGACAAAGAACTATACAGGGATTGCGAGATAGAAGTGAAACGGCAAATGTGGGAGCGAAATCAAAGCTTATTTGGAGACGAAGTTTCGCCGTTGTTGTCGCAGTATATCCGCGAAAAGGAAAACGTGCTGTTCGATCACGAAAATTTATCCAACCTCTTCTTCTCTCCGTCTCCGAAGGTGATTTATAATCAATCTTTGTTTTTTCATTTATTTAAACTCCTATGAACAACGTGTAAAAATGTATTTAGATGAGGCGTCAAGGAGAAGTTGTGCAAAAGTTGGCGAAGATGCTAGGACGAAATGTGCGATTGTACGACATGGTCTTGCAGTTCCTGCGGACCTTGTTCCTCAGGACGAAGAATCCACACTATTGCACTCTGCGAGCTGAGTTACTCATGGCTTTGCATGATCTTGAAGTACAAGAAATCACCAGCGTAGATCCCTGCCACAAGTTCACATGGTGTCTCGATGCTTGTATAAGGGAACGTGCTGTGGACAGTAAAAGGTGTCGTGAACTGCAGGTAAACTTGGATTGCTCTGCTTATATTTCCTGCGCGTCTGAAACTTGCGAAGCTTTTAAAATTGACCAACAATTGAGTAGGAATGAGTTTGTCGTGCAATTCAGTTTCCTCGTTTTTGATTTTGATGGTCTGAATTTGTTTTGTTTTAGGATTGGCGTACTTCGGAAAGCGTTCGCGCAAAGAACATGATTCTCTCATTTGTGAATTCTCGTATGTCCAGCAGTTGATGTATTCTGTCGAAGGGTTGCGTGCCGAACTACTTCATGAATCCATGATGTAGTTTGAGTCTGTTTTACTTGGGATTCAGATTTTTATTCATATTTTGTGTTAGTTTATTCGCTATGATCTTTTTCTTTCAGTGCTTCTTGGACACACTAAAGCAAGGACAAGAGGAAGTTCTCGGGGACATAGCCATGGTTCTTTGTGACCCGTTCTCGTTGCATTTTTTGTCGATTGCAGCGTTAAAAATTTTGAACCATTGTATGAACCAGGAGGGACTTCCGAGGGTGAGTTCTGGAGTTTTTCATTCATTTACGCCCATCAGTGGTTTTTTTAAGCTCATTACTTGCGTTAAGCATTTTTTCCCGGGGTCTAAAAGTCTACGGTAGCCTTAATGGCTCTGTCTTAGTGAGGTAACTTTAATCGAAAGCATTTATTTTTTTGCTTATCATTCCTATGACACGTTGTTCTAATGAGATTATAATGTTGGATGTTTAGTGCCGTCGTGGGTTAACTTTACTTTTACTTCCATAGTCATGTTAGGTTCCAACTCAACAGCACTTTTGCTTTTGCGTGCAAAAAAAATGATCGGTGTTCAGGTAGAAATTTTATGGAATTACTGGAACCGATGTTTTTCATTCCTTTTTCCAGGAAAATCACTCCGAAGCTTCATTTTTTTTTTATTCAATACTCCTTATTGATTCGGACGCACTCCTGCCCTTTTTTCCCCCATGATTCGGAACATACCGTATTAATTCTGAAAATGTTTACCTGGGTCATTTTTCATATTAGATTTTTCCGGCATTCGCTGTTAATTCTAATTTTAGTTCAAGTCCCAGTAAATTCCAACTCATGTGAAAGCATTGTTACTTTTCCGTGCGAAAGTTGATTGGTGTGTTGGTAGACATTTTATTGAATCACTGGAATCGATTTTTCTTTCCTATTTTACTCTAAGTTTTTTTTTAAATTCTTTATCGATTCCGACGGACGTCTGCCTTTTTTCGCCCGTGATTCGAACCATACCGTATGAATGCTGCATTTTTTTTTTCAAGTTGCAATTGTGTTTTAATCGCATTTGCTTCATTTGTCATGCATCAATAGGAAAATGCTATCCTCGTGCTGCTGCTCCGGATGATGTCTGTTGGTATGCGAGCCTGGGACATGATAGAGAGCCAAATGTTCAAAGAACCGAAGCTTTCGGTAGGGATTGTTACACGCTTTCTTCCTGCCCTTGTGTCCCTCTTGGTCGACGACCAAGTTCGGGCAGTGAACGCAAAACTGCCTCCAGATGAGCGAGAAACGGCACTGGCAATTATTGAACACTCCGGTCCTCCACCAGATGCCTATTCTCAGTTTGTGCAAGACACCAGCGTCGCTGCTTTGTTAGCCATGTACTACACTTTGAGTGTGGCACGGACCAAGGATCGGACGGCACTTATCCGGACGATGGGAGTCGTGGCGTCAGCACACAATTCCCGGGCCTTCGATGACACGTTTTTGCATTCGTTTGTGGCGTTGTTGGTGCCGATGGTGTCGGATTTTGCTCACGAGGACTTTTGCACTGCCGTGTTCGACGAGTTTTTCTTCACCAATATTGGGAGGGAGAATGTGTGCAGACACGTGTTGAAGCTCGTGTGGTACGTGTTTCCCAAGTTGCCGGACACGAGGAGACTGGCGATTCTCAAGGCCTTGCAACAGGGAACAATGGTGAGTTGAAAAAAAAAAGATTCCGTCTACGCAACTAAATTTCGACAATTTCGTATAACCTTTGTGCACCTGGTGTTTTTCGTGGAATTACGATAATAATTCTATAAATTTTCATATTTGTCACGAACTTCGCGTGATTTCCGGTCTTCTTGAGTTTTGTGACGTTCCATGAATAGTAAGCATCAATTAGCTTTCAAAGCAGGGACTTGCAGTGTGCAAAATCGAATGTCGCACCCCAACTATTTTACAAGTGAGAGGTTTCAAGACCGAACTGTGCTTGGAGGATTGAAACTTGGCAATTGGTTGGTGCGCGACCAACCTGAGGGATCCAAAGAGATCCCGAAATAAGCGCACGTTGTATTTTTGTCTTCACACATAAATGTTGAGAATCTGCAAGCGGAACAAGAAAGGCAAAATCCTGCAGAGTATTCTTTAGCTCTTGCAAAGTAAAAAATGGCACACAAAAATTTGTGAGAGGTTTTTCTGATAACAAGACGTTTGTCCGACGTGGTCTTTGCTTCAAAGAAGTCTGATGATTTTTGGGATTTTCCAGTCCCATTTATACCTGTGGAAAATAATTGACAAGGTGTGCCGATGTTGAGCAGCAGTGGCAGTTGCTGCGAGGGTCTAACGAGGAGGTTAATAAATCTCTAGGTTTTCTTCCAGAAAATGGGAGTTTTTTCCCGTTTTTGATTGGCGACATCTGGCCAGTCAGGCGCAGTTTCCCACGAAGCGGGAGGCTTTGTGCTTTTTTAACAAAGATCTGGAGAGGAATCGCTTCCTTTCTGAGTTTTGTTCCCACCTGTTAGGGTTTGTTTTCATTTTGTGAGAGGGTGACTCTCTTTGCACGCATTTTTCTGAGTTGGGTTTTATGGCCTGGTTCAGAAGTTTGTTTTATGACCCCCAGCAACAGCCGATTAATTGCTGTCGCTGGTTTTTGGCAGTTGCACGGACCATTGTGCCCGTGCAGAATTGTCATAACCGTTGTTTCCCCCCTTTTGTTTCTTACATGTAGCAAGGGTAAAAAAAAATTGCTCCAGCCTGCTCTGAACACAATCACCTGCTCTGGGCTTGAGGCAGGTGCTCTGCTCCAGGTCTCCAGACACTTTTCAGAACTATTGACTAGTACAGTAAAGTCCCATTGAGAAAATTTTGTGTTCTAAAATGTTCCTGGGTCCCAGCAGTTTTTCTATGAGAGCAATGCTATAACAATTTTTTTTTACGAACTAATTTTCATCAATATTTTCAGTATAATGAATTTTTGCTTTGATTGAATCTTTGCTGTATAGGCAATAAGAATTTTCAAGAATTGGCACAAAATTGGAAAATCTAACTTGAACATAATTAAAAATCATCAAAATACGGAAGTTATAATCTTCATGAATTTTTATACGCCTATATTATGGGTAGTGGTCCATATTGGCCTTCACACATATATTAGAGGTCCTCTAAAAAAAAGAATCTCCAACAATTTTTTCTGGTCCCCTGAATTTTTCGCATAGACCAGTGTCCTGAAACCATTTTCGGCCCATGGACCTGCACATAAAAAAATGATTCTGCAGACCAGCTAATTTAAAAAAAAATTGTTGCTGGCTCAAAAAAAGTTTTGCTTGAAAGACTTCATGGCAGGCATTTCAAGAGATAATGCTTTTTTACAAAAGTTAAGAACTAATAATCCAGCAATACCGTCAAATGTCTTCAAAAACTCAAAAGGTGGGCTTGAAAAAGAGTTTTCCCGAATTAAAAAAAAAAAAGAAATAATTAATTTCACTAAGTGAGAATTTGTCTGAAGTTTAACTGTTTAAGAGAGAAGCCAACCTTCATTTTTTTATCAGAAAATTTCAACTGCCATAGTTTTTCTGGCCTTTTAGATGAAGATGGCAGACTTATTGCTAATTTTTTAAATTTGTTGTGCTGCAGAAAATTGTCAAGAATCATATCCAGTCCACCAATCAACTTCTGCAGACTGGTGACAGCCTGCAGACCATGGGTGGGAGAACATTGGTATAGACTACAGAGGATGAAGTGTCCATGTGTACTTTAGTAGAGCCACAAGGAGATGCATGTTTCCAGTTAGCTGATTATGACTTATTCGAGGGGAGGGATTTCTGTTGGCTGGCATCAGCCAAATAATCACTTCAAGCTCTGGGAGTTTTCCTCAAGGTTCTAAATTGCTTCATTGGGTATCTGTACATATCCTCAAACTAACCATTGAAAAATGAATACAAGTGAGACCATGGGGTACTTTTTCAACACACACATCCACATCTTTGAGGTTTTTGAGGAAAAAATTGATTCAGGATTTCGTTTGGGGACTTCATATTAGGAACGCAGTTTTGTTGACTGGTGCCAGCCTAACAGTCACGTATGGCTGGTGGGTTTCCCCCGAATTCTCAAATTTTATCATCAGGCTTGGAGCCCGGAGCAGCCAGAATTTTTGCCTGCTCCGGGCTCCGTTCCGCTCCAGCGAAAAATGCTCTGCTCCGACTCCGCTTCGAGTACCTGTTTCGAAGAGAAATGAATACCTTGGGATCAGTCTTTAAAAAATCAGCTTATTCATGTATATTTTGCTTTCCGTCTCGTTTTCGCAGGAAAAAAAAAAATCAGTAGGAGTTGCAGCATTTTTTGAGCTCTTTTATGTAGGAGTTTATGCGTTGTTCCAGAGATTCCCACTAATGGATCTGAGAACACCAAGTATACCCAACTGAATTCGAACCCATGCTGTACTTTCCAAGCAATTTCAAGCAGAACCTACTACTCGAACTAATGCTGAGTCAGTGTTTCATCCCGGTAGGAGAAAATTAACCTGATGTTCCCATTTGAACGATTACATTTTCTGTAGCTCGTCTTTGCATGTACAATACTGTACAATGAAGCACAGTACAGTATTTTAAAAATTATTTTTAACGCACACCCTCTTCAGGAACAATATCCTCAGTTTTTTTTTATTCGAATATGCTTCGTGTGTTTAATCTACGCCTAATCATGGTTTGCCAAACCCAACCTTTTCCATTCTGAAGCTGTCCAGCTTTTTTTTTTTCTAAGTTCACGCCGCAATTGCAATGACAGTCAACTACTGTACTGTATTCCAACAGCATAATCAATGACTTCATGGATGTCATCCGTCACTTGAGTGGGATGCACTAAAATTGTATGTAATCAACCCCATCATAACCTATCGCATCGCTGTATAGAAAGTGGGGTTTTAGGTAGATTCACATAACCCGGAAGTCATGATGTACGAATGAAAGTTGCCAAGAAAAACGGTTCAGAGTGAACATTTCTAGCTGGTTGTGGTTCCGTTCGAACTCAGAAGCCAGTTCATGCGGTGTATGGAACGGGTCAAGTACCACGAGTTTTACAGAACAGTCTTGCACTGATTCTTCTCACTGAAATTATTTTGGGGTGGAAAAAAAGGGGGAAGTTGTCAATGAGAATCCCGTGACTTTTCAAAATTTTGAAATTTTTAAAAAAGTAATTTAAGCGAGGGATTGAAACTAATGTTGAGTATGCTTTGAGAAAGCAGAGCTTCTACCATCTTAAAACCTGTCCATTTATGTTGTGAATAGAGTTGATGGAGTGTCGCAGCAGAGGGAAATGCTGATGTGTTGCGCATCCCTTCGCGCTTGTCAGTGCATTTCCATGCCACGAGAAGGCTTCATGATTCTCTAACGCCGAGAAATTGACTTCGGGTGCATGCCATTTTAGCTACATGAGGCAGACTTAATGGAATTAACTGGTAAAATGTACGAGACCTTCATGAGTGAGACAGCTTTCAGCTTGGGTTTACTTCGTCACGACTTTTGGAGAAAAGGTTACCGAGTTTTTATTGTGAATACGATGTTTTAAAAGCTTTCTTATCTTCCCCTGGGTGCGGAGGAAATTTCCTACGAATCCATTGCATTAATCGTAGTACAGTACTGTAATTCTCGGAAGTGGCATCGGATGATGCCTTCCTTTTGACTTAATGTCGTCATGCGCGTGTTGACAATGTGTGACATTTTTGCATCAGAAGGTGGCGGAATGTCTTTTCCTGGAAGAATGGGTTCTTGTTTTTTGCATACCGTATTCCACGTTAAAATTCGGATGAATGTTGAATGAAAAGTTGATATTGTTCACCCTCAATAAAGGAACATTAGAGGCATGTCAAAGGCATACCGACGGTCAGCCAGCTAAAATCATTTTATTCTTGAGTTTCCTTCTTATTTTAAAGTGTACCTTTTGACTCATAAAACATGAATCACAGACGATGCGTGATTTCATTGTTGAGTTGCGCGTGGAATATTTCATGAAAATACTGGAATTCGATTTGCGTTTGCGTTGTTCTGGAAAATGAAGTTATCTGAGCCTAAAGCTTGGCGATATTTCTGTCGATTCCTAGAAAAACATGAAGCAAGAAAAACAGCTCAGGCGAGGAAAGCAGACAAAATGTTTATCGCGCTGCTGAAGAAAATACAGTCGGCGACGTGAAATCCTGTGTTCATGAACTTTGACGTTGCAGTTTCACGGTCCTCAGCTCAAATGGTATTGAAATTCAGAAAAAGGAACGCTGGAGGGCTGAATACACTGGGATAAAGCTGTTCAGAATGGGACTTGAAACGTATGCTCAATTTTCTGAACGGTAAGATATACAGTAACTTTGCATTGAAAAGGATTCAGACACATGTTATCCTGGAAATTGGATTCAACGTAGAAACGTTGTGTTAGAATGAGTAAAAATTTAATGAATAAGTCATTCCAACGACATGCGAAATGTACAGTACAGTCAACCCCCGGTTAACGTTTTTAGTTGGTTCCAAGCAAAAAAACGTTAACTGGAAAAAACGTTAACCGGGGGTGTATTTCCCTTAAGAAATAAGGGAAAAACGTTTATTTGGTTCCACAAAAATTTTTCTTAAGGTAAAAATCAGAAAAAAATTAATCAAAGAGTGTATTTCAACAGCTGAGCTTTATGCACTGCCATTACATTCTTAAAGTAACCACAGTTATTCACTCAATGAAAATCAGAGATACATTTTCATGACACAAAAAGTCACTCATCAGAGTCACTTGAGTCATTTGCCCTCTTGCAGGGCTGAGATTTGTGACCTGATGGCCCAGGTTGGTCCATTGATGGCCCAGGTTGGTCCATTGATGGCCCAGCTTTGTCAGGAGAGAAAAAGCTTTTGATGGATGATTGCTTCTCCCTACTTTTGAGAAGGGCAGTTAAATGCCTTCCACAAACAGAGTCCAGGACATCCAAAGCTTTTTGAACTTGAATGTTGTTGGGATGTTGTTCTTTGAAGATAACGTGGTTTTTTAGATTAATTTTTTAATCTACTATAATTATTTGCATCAGAAGGTGGCGGAATGTCTTTTCCTGGAAGAACGGGTCCTTGTTTTTTGCATACGGTATTCCACGTTGAAATTCGGATAAATGTTGAATGAGAAGTTAATATTGTTCACCCTGAAGAAAGGAACATTATTGGCGTATCAAAAGCATACCGACAGTTTTTATTGTGAATACGATGTTTTAAAAGCTTTCTTATCTTCCCCTGGGTGCAGAGGAAATTTCCTACGAATCCATTGCATTAATATTAGTACTGTAATTCTCGGAAGTGGCATCGGATGATGCCTGCCTTCCTTTTGACTTAATGTCGTCATACGGGTGTTGAGAATGTGTGACATTTTTGCCTCAGAAGGTGGCGGAATGTCTTTTCCTGGAAGAGTGGGTCCTTGTTTTTTGCATACCGTATTCCATGTTAAAATTCGGATAAATGTTGAATGAAAAGTTGATTTTGTTCACCCTCAAGAAAGGAACATCAGAGGCATATCAAAGGCGACAGCCAGCTAAAATCATTTTCTTCTCAAGTTTCCTTCTTATTTTGAACTTTCGAAGTGTACCTTTTGACTCATGTAACATGAATCACAGACGATGCGTGATTTCATTGTTGAGTTGCGCGTGGAATATTTCATGAAAATACTGGAATTCGAGTGGCGTTTGCGTTGTTCTGGAAAACGAAGTTATCGGAGCCTAAAGCTTGGCGATATTTCTGTCGATTCCTAGAAAAAGATGGAGCAGGAAAAACAGCTCAGGGGAGGAAAGCAGACAAATGTTTATCGCGCTGCTGAAGAAAAAACAGTCGGCTTTGTCAACGTGAAAGCCCGTGTTTATGAACTTTGACGTTGCAGTTTCACGGTCCTCAGCTCAAATGGTATTGAAATTCAGAAAAAGGAACGCTGGGGGGGGGGGGGGGGCTGAATACACTGCGATAAAGCTGTTCAGAATGAGACTTGAAACCTATGCTCCATTTTCTGAACGGTAAGATATACAGTGACTTTGTATTGAAAAGGATTCAAACACATTTCATCCTCTCCTGGAAATTGGATTCAACATAGAAACGTTGTGTTGGAATGAGTAAAAATGTAATGAACCAGTCATTCCAACGACATGCGAAATGTATTCAGATTTGTAGCTGCATAATGCAATTTACATGTCGATTCATCTCTTGATCAACAAGGCCATCGGGCATAGACGAAATTAGATCTGCGGGCAAGACGAGGATTATTATGAATGAAGACAATATAGTGGGGCCCCGAAATGCGGACGTAATTGGTGCTAACTGCTAAGACCTTATCCTCGTGTGGAAACGTCCGCATTTCTGATCACGTTTTCCCATAGACTTCAATGGAAAAATACAGTATTTAATTTGTTCTCCTGTTCATCCAAAAATCAGAAAAGTCTCCCAAAAATGGAATGAAGTTTGTTTCAACTTAAACATGCAGAAAATACGTGTGGTACAGGAGAAAACCACTCAGAATCTGATTTTTTTGGCATGAAAAGGAACCCAAAAAGCAAAGAGCAAGCTGAAGTCTTGCTGCACTGTGCACAGAGATTATGGAAAAAACGATGCACACAATTAACCTTTTTGATTATCAATCAGTCTATTGGAGTAAATTAACTAAATTTTTAATAATATTACTTCTTAATTATTGTTAAGATAAATAGCTCAATTTGTTTATACTGAATCGAAATAAAGTAATACAAAGATTTTTCTGGAAAATGTTGGCGTAGTATGCGTATCTCGAGACTTTCTCTGGATGTCTGGACGTCCGTAAACCGGGGCTAAACGAGAAAGAAAAATGTTCTGCAGTGCACTTGTTGAAACTCTAAACAGATGTTTGACTAATCATTGCATATGTGTAAGATTCTTGATATTGAACTAAAATTCATGAAAATAAATGCGTACATTATTGAAGAAAATGAAAGGGTATCCTCATGCTATAAGAAATAACGTCATGAATTTTTTTTTGAACGGACACCTGTTGTTTGGTGATAGCAATATCACAGAACACAGGTGTTCCATGCTCCTCCTAATTCCTATTGAAAGGATGTCTCTCTCTCTCTCTCGCGGAAATTAAATTACATACGAACTACACCTGGAAGAATAATGGGATCCACTGCTGGTTCTACTTGTGCTGCGAAGGTGGGACGGGACGAAGGGGGTTCCAAGACTTTTCAACACTGTGCGTCTCTTGCTTTGGGTTGGAACAGCATTATTCGTCTTGGACCTAATCAGATCAATCCCAGTAATGCAGTCCTTCATGAAAAGGTTCTCTCAGTTCCGGAAAAGGGTTTTTTTTTTCGTCAGAACATATACCGTATCGAGCTCTTCGAACAATTCGTTGTGTCTGTGATACTCTGAAACTGCTGCGAGGATGCGAAGCGATGATGCACTTCACTTCAAGTTTATGAGTTCATTCATTTTTATTTTATGAGCTTCTTGAGACTACATTCGTATGTTTTCGTAGCGCAACCATCTTCTTTCTAAGAAATCCTCGTTCCGAAACCGATGAAGTTCGAAAACAATATTTGCGCTGTTTGTAATGTTTGGAAATCAGGAAGGATCTTCCAGCAAATTGATCTCCCAGTATTGGGTCTGAGGCAAGTGGTGCTTGTGATAGTTTCCCGTTTCACAGAAAAACACTTACCTGTGAACCATTGCAGTGAAGCACAATACTTTTTGTACCGTAATTATATACATTATTTGCAATTGAGACAATTCAACTTTTCTTCATTTTTGGAGGATTGATTTTGTGTCTTTGGTGCAAGTCCGAGTCTGTCTCCACATTTTTCAGTACTGCTCTCTCTCTCTCTCTCTCTCTCTCTCTTTTCAAGGTAGCAGCCGTCACTATTCAAAATATATATTTCAAGTTTAATTTTGAAATAAATGTTTCTTCAACCTTTCAAAAATTCTGTGTAAGGCTATCCTGAACTTGTGATTCAATACATAATGTTGCAAAATTTGAAGGTAATTCCTGAGAATGTCGGGTTGTTCTTTGAATGAAACAATTCAACAAACGTGAATTTGAACTCGCATCTGTTTTCTGAAAGAAGTCAATTTATGAAGCTCTGATTGTCTGACTAAAATTAATCTCTCAAAGAAAGTTTCAGTAGTAAATTTGTTCCGCCTCGCTTTCAGGATGAGCTTTGGCGTCTGCCAGACCTTTTGTTTTTGGTTTTTAGCATGCAAATTAGGTTTCATCCCAGCTCACACAAGATAGAAAATCTGTAAAAGACTGATAGTCATAATCTTTGTAACCTAAAGGAAATGAAGACCATTGTAACTGGAAACCTAAGTTCCTGTGGAATATTCCACTCCTTGAACTAGACCGCCTTTTTTAACCCTTCTTTCCCCCAAAAACACACTTCACCCTGAATTGTTGAACAAAAAGGAGCTCGCAAACGCTCGACGCTGATCCTTTGGAAGAGAGTTGAATTGTTTAATGCATTTTGTATCAAAATAGGGTACTAAGGTACCCAGGTTTTACCCCAACCAAAACCCGTAATTTTATTTAAACTTCCTTCTCCAACCTTGTCCCCATGACTCATTGCACTGAATCAACTTTGAAACTTTCCATTCAAAAGGGGAAAATTTGAAAAGAATTTCCATGGTGGTCAGCAAGAACTCTGCACCTCGGGAATATGGCCCGTGGCCGTAAAAAAAAAATAGTTTTTGGCCTTTGACCGCATCTGAGTTGGGTAGAACTAGTCTATAGCATCAGTAGAAACCCCTATGGAACCGAGGAAAAAAAAAATCGTTTTACAGATGAAATCATTGTCAAGAGAGTTTGCCTGCATTCCTGGACGGTTTTTTGATTGATCACGTTCTTGGTTCTGAGATTCTGATGTTTCAACTTCGAGACTACAAGGAGCTACTCTCTCCACTTGTTCATTTATTTAAAAGAAAATGCATCCCATTCTCCCAAATTAATAAACCAGTTCGTGAAAATTTCAGGTACTCTGGAGGGAATCTCCCGCGGTCAAACTTGCGACCACTCATTTTTTATTCCTACTTCAATGGCATTTCAGTTGCAGAAGCCAAAAAGAAGTGAGAAAAAACTGTTTGGAGACCAAGTCCTGTATCTTTCCACTGTTCTGAGGTGGATGTGACCATTTCTGTGGGGGGATTGTTGTCAGTGGTAGTCCTCATCGTTGATTTTGAGAACATGAGGTAGTTGTTCATGCACGTGTGTGAGAAGAACTCGTGAACCATTTTGAAAAACAAGTATACGCCTTGAAAAACTGAGGTGTTTTCTCTACAAATCGAGGCGTGATGATATTCGAAGTTCTCTCTTGATGCTTCCAGTATTTTAGATTTAGTAAATCATTCCTGATGAGATTTCTATTGCCATATGCAATTATGATGATGATTTCTTATAAATTAAGAGCCCAAGAAGCACCACCGAATTGAATCGGTGCATTACTGACAGTTTTTTTTTAGAATTTCGGGACTTTCAAGAAACCCCTTCAACACTAGTTTGTGTCAATCAATTTTTTAGAAATGAATCCATCAAGTTTTGGAAGGTGGTAATGCGTGCTGAAAATGCTTAAAGTTTCAGAAATCGCAGTTCTGCGATCAGAAGATGAAAAGAATCTGGAAATCTTTTTCAGATTTTGACTGGCGATTGAGTTTTACCAAAAATTAAATCCATTGACAGTAGTTTTGGAATTTGGTGATGCAGGCTGAAAATGCTTGGAATTTCTGAAATCGCTGATCGGCAATGGGAAAATGAAAATAATCTGGAAATTTTTTTTTCGATTTTGACTGGCGATTGATTTTTACCGAAAAATGTGAATCAATTCACTTTTGGGATTCGGTGATGCAGGCTGAAAATCCTTGAAATTTCTGAAATCGCAGGTGGGCGATAAGAAAATGAAAAAAGCCTGAATTCTTTTCTTTTTTTTGAGAGAGAGAGTGTGGCTGACTCGATTTTTACCGAATTTTCTGTTTCGCAGCACAATCCAGTATTGGGACCAGTTTACAAGAGCTTGGAGGAGCGCGTGGAAACGCATTTCCAGACCTTGGCAGCCGCCGCAGCGCCGCCTCAGCATCACCATCAGCAGCAGGCGGTGACGCCAGCCCAGCAGCCTCAACCCAATGCTCCGGGATCGCAGAGTGGCGGAAGAACGCCGTATAGCCATCAAATGCCGCCGCCGCCCGTCGGTGGCTACAGTTTGACGACCCCCGCACATCCCATTGATTCTTCTTTCATGACGCTGCCCACGCCTGCTCCTCATAGACAAGACCGGTACTGAATTTGAAGATGCCTTCGCTGCTGTTCTGATGGGAAGTTCGTCTCTTTTTTTTATTATTCTGTCATGTTGTTGGAATATATTTTGTTTGTTGACGTGTCACAGCTGAAGCATTTTCCTTTCTTTTTACCGATACGTTTTACGCGCTCGAAAACTGTTCGCTAATTCGCTGTCCGGCAGTCCGGGTATTCATTACTTCGCGTGCTTTTCTACCTTACGTGTTTTCTTATATTTCTTTTACAGGTGGTAGACCTTTGAAAGTGATATTAGGAACAAGTTTTCAAGTCGAGAAATGGTTATACTGTAGGCGTAAAAAACCTGTCTGAAGCTCTGAATAACGAAATATTAATCAATGTTTGCTGTTTTTTCATTTTGACAAAAAAGTACGGTATCTCGTTGTATTTCAAGTGAACATGTTCACACAGATAGTTTGATTTCTCTTGTAATGAACTTCAGTCAAAATCCAAAAGTTAAGCTGCTTAACGCTCTGAAATTTTCCGTCTTGTATAATATAAGATAAATCTTTTATTGCGATACATAATCAATTGTTTCTGGCAACTCTGAAAAAATTGAAGACTGAAAATGTGCCGCATTTTAACCTATAATCCCTCGCATTCAATGTTTTATATTTATTGAAACATTGTCAATTGACCCTGCTGAATTAGACATGCATACCAATTTGCAAACGAAATACGGTCGATCTGACCCGATCTCCGTTGCTGCATAGAATTTGAGTGGCTGTACAACTTATTCGTAGGGATTTCCGTCTTGTTGCATTTATGTTTCGTGATAGCTAGAGTGAAGAACATGTACGCAAAGGAATAATGCAGCTTGCAGGTGGTCTGAGGTTCCAGCTGGTGCTACGTTAGCCCTTGTAAAACCCTCACAGGTGCTTCAAGAAGCTGAGAAAGTGTGGAATTATAGGGACGAAAAAGAATCGTGAGATTCAATCGGAAGGAATATATGATGAGCATTATAAGAGGCCCCATGAAATTTTATGAAGATAATACTATGCCTCTATGCTGCATGAATTACAGGTGTACTCTCTACTGCGCAATCTTATCTACAACAAATTTCTCAGTACAGTGAGATTCCAAGATGTGGATGTAATTGGTGCATCAAGAGTGCATTTTCATGTTGGGGTGTTTTGTGGTGTTGAGATTCCAAGATGCTGATGTAATTGGTGCATCAAGAGTGTCCCCAAGTTGAAATGTCCCCAAGCCAAGTCTTGTTTTCCCATTTTCCTTACATTATATAATTTTTAATTGGTGTTTTGTGGAAGAAATATTCTTCAGAAATCCCTGAAAAAAATTTTTTATCACTTGAATTTGAAGTAGTGAATAAATTTTCAACTCAATAAGAACATTTGGATCATTGAATAGTGTATCTCTCTACTGTACACTGAAATTTTGGCATGTACAAAAATAACATGCTAGTGAAAAAAAATGGAAGTCACTGTATGCTGGAGGTAATTTTTTGGTACTTTCCTGGTATCTCAGTACCCATTATTTTTGTCTCATGAATTCAGTATTTGTGCAATGAAAAATTAGTTAATCATGTTATTTGAAGAGAAAAGGAACTTCATCACTACCATCCAGACAAATCTTCATTCACCTCCATAGGTAAACCGGTACTTTCCTAGACCACACTACCATCCAGACAAATCTTTAGGACAAGTTCATAATCACAATGACCTACCAGAAACTGAATTTTATTTTTCCACATTCTGCTGAAACTGATTTTGGGAGGCAGTTTGGTAAAGTTAGGTTAGGTCAGGTTATGTTAGATACAAATATCTTTCAAGTAACATAACCTGACCTAACCTAACTTTACCTAACTGCCTCCCAAAATCAGTTTCTGCTTTCTTTGGGTTCCTGCTGAAACTGATTTTGGGAGGCGGTTAGGTAAAGTTAAGTTAGGTCAGCTTAAATTGGTCATTTAGATTACCAACAATGTGTACAGTATTGTACTTCATGCACCAAACTCAACAATTACATAAAATAAGGCAAAAAAGTAGGTACTGAGATAACAGGAAAGTACCAATCTGGTAAACTAGCTAAATGGATGGTAATTTGGTGAGAGAAATGCCTTGGAAATATCTGTTTCCTGTAATTTGGCCTGAAATGTATTTGTAATTTTATCACAAAATGTCCCTATGTTGAGTCAGTTTCCATATGTTGGGCCTTATTTCTTGATTTTTTCTGGTAAAATAAGTGTCCCTAAATTGAATTGTCCGCATGTGGGGGTCTCACTGTATAAAAATTTTTTATTCAATGCTAAATGGTGCTCTTCCCAAGTAGGGGTTCTCACCAGACAAATTTTTTTCCAGGTCCCTTGAATCTATTCTTTTAGAGAGTCCTCCTGTGTATGGTAATGTGAAGTAGAGTCTGAAGTTCGCAACTTGTATTTCATATGAAACTTTGTCGTGTACTTTAAATTGATTTTACAGGGATCAGTTGGCCAGAAAGCTGCGCTTATTTACTGCAGAAGGCAAACTAAGTGTTAATCACTCCAATTTAATTTTTAAAATCCTGCTTTGAATATTTTTTAATTATGTGTTCAAATACTGTCCATTTAATAAATTTCATGATTAGTGCTAGTATACCGTATGGTGTGAGATGAACACTTCATGCTGCGAGAAATTTCGTTCATGCATGCTTGAGAGAGGTGTTTTGATTACCATTATATAATGTAGTGAATTGATGCGGTATACGTTGGCGCATAACTAACAAAACCATATACTGTACCGTAAAACTGGAAAACATCCAGCATGATAATGACTCATTATTCATATCGAGATTTAGACAACACTGGCCGGGGTCATATGCATGCGGCGTATGCTTAGAAGTGTGTGCAGAAGACATCTATACTGTGATACCATGCATTTTTAAAATTAGGCTATAATTTGTTGTAGCAAGATTCGAATATGAACTCTTCTGGCCGCTGTACCTGATTAATCTTTTTTTTAAATGTATCCACTCATGTAGGAGAGGCATTTTGGAAACAAAATTGAGAAATATATATTACTACTGTCAGGTAAGTAAGACCATGCATGGCATAAAGAGACGAACACTTGTTTTATGTGAGGATTTCTTGTGACCAAAGATTCTGATAGGATTTTTTATCAGGCCGATGACCGTAGTATCCTCTCACATCACTGAAAATTTCTAAGTAATCTTGAAAAATACAGGTCGACTCTCTCTCCGTACAATAACGGAGTTCAGGTGACAAGCATTTGTTATAGAGAGAATTTCATTGTAGAGAACCTCTCTGGCAGTGTCGTTAATATGTGGTTGGCTGAGACTGAACATCATATCCCGCTCGCAGTCGCTTCCTTTCAGATTTCATGGTGGCAGCCGCCACCATTCAAAATAGTTATTTATGGATGAATTTAAAAATCAACGAATATCTTCACCCTTCAAAAATTCCGTGGGGATATGTCTGTGATTCAATACTTGGCACTAAATTGAATTTGAAACTTTCCCTGTAAAAGGAGAAAATTTGGAACCTCTAAAAGTTTTCTACTGTGGCCCGCGAGGACTCTCCACCTCTGGAATGTAGCCCTTGGCCACAAAAAAAAATTTGATGTCGCCCTCGACATCAGACTTGGGCAGTTTACTTGTACTGTATACTCAATTTTCTAAAGCATCGTTTAGACCTCTACTATGCTGGAACCAAAAAAAAATATTATACAAAGAAAATCGTCCTATAGAAAGAGTCTACCTGTAGAACCACAATAAGGCGATGATCATGACAAAGAGAAAACTTGCCTGGTCAAAAGCAGCTTCTTCTGATGTTCGATCCGAACTTTCTCGGGATCGATGTTGACGGAATTGACAGTTACCTTATCTGTGCAGAGACTGTCAGCTACTGTATAAACAATAACTTCCCTCGAAATATTTTCTAGCATCACTCTCAGAATCACAGAAGAAGGAAGCGCGGGGTTTATTTTTGGAAGGAGTAGAAAACAGACAAAAGCTACTTCATCTTCCACGGCCACTGCTTCATCGTTCTTTTGCTCATCATTATCAAGATGTGCTGAGTGATGCATGGAGGCACGCTTGACGCATGTGAAAGAAAGGGTTCCACCTGGAAAGTCTTCCCCGTCGATTTCAAGATTAAGAATGTGAGCACATTGTTCAACTGAAAACCCTCTTTAAATACCCCTATCCCATCCAGCTCAGTGTTTAATTTATTCTACGCACTATTACCTCTCAAGCACTTCGTCAGCACAATATTTTCAAAACACTTCAAAAAATGCAATTACCATATTTACTCCTATTTACTGGAGTACCATGCGCACCTTTTTTTCAGAATTTCAGAAGAAGAAAAGGGGTGCGCATCATAAGCAGGTACAAAATTTTGAAGAAGTTTTATGAAGTTATGTGTGCATCATACTTGATAATAATGGAGAAATTTGGAGCAAACGTAACAAGTAAATGTTTTTGTACTGAAAAAGTTGAAATTTATGAGATTTTTGTTCAATTCATGCCTAAAGTCAATTTTTTGTTTTCATTTGCAAAATGTTGTGGTTTCAGATTCACTAAAAATTGGGGTGCGTGTCTTACTGGGGGATGAGATTTTAGCAAAATTTCCAACTGAAAACCCCCTCTGCGCACCTTACTTGAGGGTGCGTGGTACTTGAGTAAACAGGGCACTCTCTTGGCTGTTCCAGCTATCTTTCAAAACATTGGAGTCTCAGACAGTAAAATGTTTTTTTCTGCTATTTCCTCTCAATTTCGGGAAAGCAGTTGTCAAGATCATGTTCTCCAACATTTTTGGGCCTGCAGAACTGCAATTTTCCCATACAATTCTTCCAAACTAGAAAATTTCCAAAAAACTTGGTGAACTGAGAAAGTTTCATAAAACTTTCACAGACTCAAAAAGTTTGGTTTGGATGACTATATGGCTGGCACTTGGAAGTTTCTGCTTTGTTTCAAAAATTGAGTTAACCCTCAGATGGCAGAGGGTTCCTGGCTGATGTCCTACAGCAAAGGCAGGATTTTTTTAGAGGGAGGGGCATTTCACTTTGACCAAAGGTCACTGAAATACTCCAATAGGTTGCCAAGGCCCAAGTTGGGAAAAGTCCAGGTGCAGAATCCCT